CGCACGGCCGAATGATGCTTGCAGGAAGATGTTGCGATGGCGGACGGGATACCGGAGTTCTTGGAGAGGTCGATCATCCTGCAGACGTTCGGGGTGCGGTCGCCGCACCCGTGCCAGCGAGCAGAGCACGTTCTGATTCCTCCGTACGTGCCGCCGGGCATCGAAGACGTGCGGCCGGCGCCCGAGAAGGCGAGGCGCGACATCTTCGTCTTCTTTCGCGGCAAGATGGAGGTCCATCCCAAGAACGTCAGCGGCCGCTTCTACGGCAGGTAACGATGAACTCGAGAAGACAACAAGAAACGATCGCGCCCGTTCGAGCTCGTCACAAGTAATTGCCGACGATTCCCTGTTGTCGGATGGATGCAGGAGGGTGAGGACGGAGATATGGCGGCGGTACAGCGCGAACCCGAGGTTCCGGCTGCAGAGGAAACGATCCGGCGATTACCGAGCCGAGATGGCGCGGTCGGTGTTCTGCCTGTGCCCGCTGGGGTGGGCGCCGTGGAGCCCTCGGCTGGTGGAGTCGGTGGCGCTCGGCTGCGTGCCCGTCATCATCGCAGACGACATCCGGCTGCCCTTCCCGGAGGCGGTGCGGTGGCCGGAGATATCGGTGACGGTGGCGGAGGCAGACGTCGGCCGGCTTGAGGCGACGCTCGACCACGTGGCGGCCACCAATCTGTCGGCCATCCAGCGGAACCTGTGGGACCCCGCCCGGCGGCGGGCCCTGCTCTTCCACCGCTCCATGGAGCAGGGCGACGCGACGTGGCACGTTCTCAGGGCGCTCGAGGGGATGAGGCTCCGCCGCCGGCCGTGGCGGCCGAGGTGAGGCGGTGCAAACCGACACGTGGAGGTAGCGCGGCGGTCGTACACGGCGAGCGGTCACGGGCTGTCGCGCTCGCTTCACGAGCGTGTCGTGTGACGTAGATCGGTCGGACATCCCCGTTTTCTGTTATTTATTTATTTCACTATTCACAAAATTATACAATTAAAAAAGAAATTATTACAATTTTGCTAGAATTAATAGTTGATTAATGAATGGCACATTAATTAATCACCGACCAAAGATGATTATAAATCCAAAGAAGGAAGTCTCTCCCTGAAGCACGGTTATTAAAGATGTTAGAGATCTGAGTCTCTGATTCATAAGCAAAAGGGGTGGGTAAAGAATAAGAGATGAAGGAAGTCTGAGCTTTAAAGATACTTTACGGAATTAAAAATGCTTCCTTTGCTGGCCATGGGAAAGATTAAAGAGGAGGAGCGGAGTTGGTATGGGAAGAGATTAAAGTTGTGTGTTCTGCAAGCAGAGGGTATGATGTGAATGATGGCCAGAATGCAGACCATGCTGTTTGCTTGCTGCTTTCAATTTGTATACGATAAGCACAGTGGTCCTGTCTCTCAATCGATCAGATATAGTCGATGTCACATGAGGTGCAACCTTTGCACTGGTCGGCTATCGATTATTATTATTATTAAAGATTAAGTGATAAATGTGAGACTTGTCAAAAGTCTTTACCTTCATATATATATATATATATGTGATTTAAATAAGATCAACTATCTTATCTCTAAGATAGGGCTGAAATTTTTCTGACAACTAGTTGTTGTTTCTGACATTGTCGTCGTCTAAGACTAGTTGTGGTCGGCGGCAGGAGATGGTGGAGAAGATCGAGCACTCTCACCTGGACGTCCGAGGCATCAGCCTCCACATAGCTCACATAGGAAAAGGTAAGCGAATCCCCTCATCACCTTACTCTCCCTCTTCCCATCCGACCTGCCTTGCGTGGGTGAGGACGCAGGTGAATTGGGGACCGTCCTCTTCGTCCATGGATTTCCGGAGATATGGTACTCGTGGCGGCACCAGATGATCGCCGCCGCCGAAGCAGGATTCAAGGCCATCGCCCCGGACCTCCGTGGCTACGGCCTCTCCGGCCAGCCAACAGAGCCGGAGAACACCACCTGGGAAGACCTCGTCGCGGATCTCCTCGCCATCCTCGATTCCCTCTCCATCCCCAAGGTACCATCTTTGATCCTCCGAAGCGGATCGCTTTAGGGTTGATAGATGGGTAAATGTTTTTTTTTGCACGCAAGGTGTTTGTTGTCGGGAAGGACTTCGGCGCCTGGCCTGCTTATCATCTTGCTCTGTATCATCCGCAACGGGTGCTGGGTGTCGTGACCTTAGGAGTGCCATTCATCGCCCGAAACTTAGACAGCGACACGCTTCCCGAAGGTTTCTACATACTGCGGTGGCGGGTATAATCCCACGATTCATTCGCTCACAGCAAATTGCTTACTGTTTATCTTATCTCATCTTCTCCGACAACAGGAGCCAGGTCGAGCGGAGGCAGACTTCGGCCGGTTCGATGTCAGGAGAGTCGTTCGCACCATCTATATTCTATTCTCCAGGGTTGAGATTCCCATAGCCGAGCGAGGCCAGGAGATCATGGACCTTGCCGACTCATCCACGCCCTTGCCGCAGTGGTGCACCGAGGAAGACGTCGATGTCTATGCTGCTCTATACGAGACCTCGGGGTTTCGATTTCCGCTCCATATGCCATACCGGTGAGCTGCCAAAGCTAGCAGAAGCATGAGAAGAAGCCCTTTAAACCGTGTTGACACAGCCGGTCTGCTTCTCTGTAGGTCGCTGCTCAAGGTAACGGCCCCAGCCGATCCGAAAGTTGAAGTCCCTGCGCTGCTGATCATGGGAGAAAAAGACTACGTTCTCAGGTTTCCGGGCATGGAGGACTACGTCAGGAGCGGCACGGTGAAGCAATTCGTCCCTGATCTGGAGATCGTCTACGTCCCCGAAGGAAGCCATTTTGTGCAGGAGCAGTTCCCGGAGCAAGTGAACCAGCTTCTCATCGACTTCGTTAAGAGCCATCTCTGAGACTCTTGGCTCGAGGAAATACGTTGCATGATGATTGACATATCATTGATCAGACGAACACAACTATAGATTGTGTGAAAATTAAAGCAGTCAGTGAATGAGAAGCAATATGGGTTGACATTGCAGTCAACTATAAAACAAGGCTTAAACTGGGAAGAACCTGCAACATGGTCGGAGGATCAAGATCGTTGATTCGTAGAGGAAACCAACGATAGATTTAAGCGGTGACTAGCATGAGTTAGGTCATCAGTGAGAAGGTCAAAGATTTGAGAACTCAAAGAGATCATGTCTGTTGTAAACAACTTTGAGTCGTGGTCACGGGGTCGATGCGGTTTGATTCGGATCCCGATGATGGGAGATCTTTCTAGGGTGACTCTTGATACTGCTGAGGTGGTCGATTGCGGTTGTCTGATCAGTACTGAGTCGCTTTTTTTTCCGGGAGAGAACTCCTCGCTTGGGTGTTTAGTGGGAACTCCCCCGATCCGACCCCTCCGACGATCAAGTTAGTGAACAGTCGTAGGGTTTTTTTCCGTTCGTCCTCCTCCCTTTTCCTCGGAGTGCGAGGGGTTTTATAGTGAGGATTACTGTTGCCTGATGTGCCTGCTCGCAGAGAGCAGGATCGTACTTCTGATAGCGTCTGACATCCACATTGGCATGACATGAGGGATCGAGCCTGAGCAGGGTGTTAATACGTCTTGGTCGGTACTTCGGTCCGCGTTGACCAGGTGTTGTCAGGTCAACAGAGACGCAAGACGTCTTCTGGGGTAGCTGACGTCACCCGAGTCTTATCACCATTATTACCCTCATCAATGTTGCGTGAGGAAGATTATGGATTCGCGATTTCCTCATGTGAGGAAAGAATATCGGAATAGAGGGAAGATTAGAACATAGGTTTCGATACTATATTAAAAGATAAAAAAAAAATTATTGATTCTTAATTATGGGTGCATCATAAACCATATGTAGGGTGAAAAAAATCTAGTCAATCTATATCAAATTTGATGGGAATAAAAAAAAATGATGATCATGTTGATGGATATGAGATTTTTTAATATGAAAACAACTCTTCCTACCAACTCCTTACCTACCCGACGTCGCACCGGCTCTTTGATTGGAACTACTGACAGATAGCATGGTAGGCGATTGGGGGTATCACTAAATAGTTTACGAAATTCAGGAAAACTCTTCCGACTTGTTTGAATTGTACCCACGCGTGCACCGGCTCTGTTATCGAAGGCCACGACGGGGGTACCAAACAAGTTAGAATAGCTAGAAAAGATACAACCAAAAACTCTTTCTACTCAGTTCCTTGTGTACCCAATCGTGCACCGGCTTCGTGATTGGAACAAGCGACGGATGCCATGGCCGACGAATCGAGTAAGTAACAAATAACTCCAGAAGACATTACCAGTCTCTCGTGTCACGTCACGTTGCTGTCAATCTCCTCGAGTTGGAGAAAGCGACAAATTAGACCGAGTCTCGATTTGTAGAAGCGTAATCGACAGCTCACCACTTGCCATTTGTGGCCCACCACGTTGGCCCACAGTGGACAAAGACGAGAGATGATTCCATCCCCACCTCCACACCTCTCGTTGTCGCCTTTACTAGGTAAAATTACGTATATATCCCTCGAATTTGATCCATCGACTGTGACATTAAACATCTTAATATTTCCGCTACATTAAATTCGAAAATGGGGTAAATCTGGTCCATAATTGTTAACCTGAGTTACTTTGGATGAATAGTAATGGAATATAGCCGTGGAAGAAAATTATGGATATTAATATTTTGACGAAATTGGCAAGGACAGATATGTAAAAGTCTAATAGTAGTATTATTATATATTTTTTATTGTTATTTATGCTGCGGGTTGGTCTGATCTCTTTAAAGCCATCGTTTTCCAGTTGTGTCTCTTCGTCAATCGGGGTGCTAGGGTTTCGGATTCCTCATCGGTGGCTTCTGAGAACCACAAAAGAAAGAGGGAAGAACACCAAGAAACCCTCGAATCGCCCTCTCTCAGAACTGTAATTTTCCGATTCCAAACGGCGGAGCATTAAACCCCCACCCCCTCTCCTCTCCCCCCACTCGTGTAACGAATCCGAGCAGCTCGCGAGCACCCCCCCCCCCACCCAACTGCAGGACAGATTAAAGAACGTTTTCGTAAGAACAGATCTATCCTCTGAGAACCTCGAATTCCAGATTTGCACCGCTTAAAAGATGAAATTGGACCTCAGAAAGTTTTGATCTTTTGATACAGGAGCGGAAGATTCGAACCGTAGTTTCTTTTTCTTGTTGCTGGAAAGATCCGAGATCCAACTTCTTGATGACTGTTACCGTGGTCGGACTTTGACTTGCAGGACTGTATACGGAACGATCAGGCCTAGATCTGTAGGTCTTGTTGAAGGATTTCCTGGTTTGGTCGACAAAGATCTCATCTTGATCTTGTAAAAATGTTTAACTCGGCAGTTTACTATGAGAACTCCCTTGTTGGGGAGGTGGAAGTTTATCCCCAGAATCCGAACACCGGCTCATGGCTCAGGGAGATCCGGATCTCCCATCTCTCGCCTTCCAGCGAGCGGTGCCCGCCGCTCGCCATTCTTCATACTGTCGCCTCCGGTGTCGTCCGCTTCAAAATGGAGTCGAAGTCACCACTGTCCAAAGATTCGCCGATGTCCTCTTTGCACGCCACGCTCTTCAGTGAGAATAAGGTATTATTCCCCAAAAGGAAACAAAAATCGGAACGAAAGATTTTTATGCAGCTGCAGGATGATGTATAGTGAATCCTAGCAGAATCACTTTGTGAATAGGTCTAGATTTTAACTCATTGCTTGCAACTCTTGCTTTTTTCAAAAGGGAATATGCTGGTGAAATTCACCTTTCATGATCTGATTACACTGATTTTGAAACAAATGTCGCTCTATTGAAACTTTACCGGCTTGGAATTGTTCAAGTAACACGATGTCATATTGTCGTAAAAACAAGATTTGTCCCATAAATTTTAGACTACTGTATCTCTTTTTATTCACTACACAGTAAATTGGTTGCTTGACTTATGCATTACTTCATTGTTCGTCCTCCAATACAATAAATGGTCTAGTAAAGCACAAATTTTCTTTTCAGATGTTAATTATTCCTAGTGTTTTCTAGATCAGTTTGGACTAGCTTTGCCTTCAGGTTTTAAACAATCAGCTCAGTCCTGTTGTTGCAAGTAATAAAAGTTTTCATTACTGTATTATTTTTGCTTTGTCATAGTGCAATCGGATATGGTTGTTAAGGCTATCAGTTTATCCCTCTCTCAGAACTCTATTCCATTTCTCTTATAGAATAGAGTTCGGTAAAAGTTGAAGTCCTTTTCTAGAAGGTAATCTCCATTTTGGTTAAATTAGTGTTGATGTCCTATCTTAACCTTGATTAGAAGTGGCTTTCAACCTTCACTTTGATAAGGTATTTGTTGGCAACTGCCTTGCTGTCCATCCTTGACACTGATAATTAATTATGCTAGGTTTGTATGGAATTATGTTGCGTTAAGACTTATGTATGGTACAACTAGAATATTTACAAGAATAAATTTCTCATGGATGTCCAAACAAGAATGACAGTGATGGGCTGTGATGTAGTTCGATCAAAGTGGTCTGAATGAGATCAAAGGATGAACAATTTAGAGTGAAGCATTTATTTCGATTGATTAAACTTTGTTGATTTCTGTTGTCAACTGAACCTTGCATGGTTTATTTTGATATTTTTATATGATGATTACTGATATGCTTAAAATTCAATTGTTCTGTAGTCCCTATATCAAAGAAGCATACACATTTCTTCATCCTTTTTTGTTGGTCATGGTTGTATGTGCACGGTGCACATCTTATGCGTATCTTAAGCCTACAAAATTGGCATTGATATGTGGCAATTCTAAATTAGGTATCTAAATTTATATGTGGCAATTTCTAAATTAAGTATCTAAATTTCTCTTCATTCATGCATTCAATGTGCTTGCAGACTGCTGTTATTGCACTAGGTGAAGAAGAGCTGCACCTGGTGGCCATGGCTTCCAGAAAGAATCCTATGCCATATGCTTGTTTCTGGGGATTTAGTGTGCTATCACGATTGTACGAATCTTCTCTTTTGATGTTGAACCTAAGGTGCCTTGGTATTGTGTTTGATCTTGATGAAACACTTCTAGTTGCTAATACCATGCGCTCATTCGAGGACCGGATTGATGCACTTCAGCGAAAGATAAGTAATGAGACAGATCCTCTGCGCATTGCTGGCATGTTAACGGAGATAAAGCGGTATCAGGACGATAAATCAATCTTGAAACAATATGCAGAAAATGACCAGGTTGTTGAAAATGGAAAGGTGTTCAAGGTTCAATCAGAGATGGTTCCACCTTTGTCTGATAATCATCAATTGATTACACGTCCAGTAATACGGATACAAGAGAAAAGCATCATTCTAACACGTGTAAATCCATCTGTATGTTTCTTGTCCTGGTCTTTATGTTGCAAAATATGACTAACCCCTTTGTTCCTTCCCATTATCTTCCTGCATCAAATGTCATTTCTTATTTCTGTGTTCTTTTTTTCCTGATTAAGAATTGAAATAAGCTCTGTCTGCTATCAAAAAAATTTCTGGAAATGTAATTAGTTACCTCGAGTGCTATAACTTTCAGAGAAATCACAAATATCATATATGCCTTACTAGCTTTTTAATTTGTTCTTTTCCGGTTTTAACTTGATTGGTATATCTTTAGTTAAGGTGGATAAAATTCATTTTATCTTTAGATACGAGATACAAGTGTTCTTGTACGATTAAGGCCTGCATGGGAAGATCTTCGGAGCTATCTAACTGCAAGAGGACGCAAACGGTTTGAGGTCTATGTTTGCACAATGGCTGAAAGAGATTATGCTTTGGAAATGTGGAGGCTTTTAGATCCAGATTCAAGCTTGATTAACTCTTCAAAATTACTTGATCGTATAGTTTGTGTTAAATCAGGTATGTCATGCATACATTTTGCTGTTATATATGACATATCCTCTGCAATATTTCCCCGAAAGACATCGATTTCTCATGGAATTCTCTGCATTTTTTGGATACTATATACTGATTGACATCTGTTTTATATTTTTCTCTGTTCCCTATTTTATACAATTCTTGTATGTTGGTGTTGACTTGTCTTCTGATAGGCTCAAGAAAGTCACTGCTCAATGTCTTTCAAGATGGAATCTGCCATCCGAAGATGGCACTTGTAATTGATGACCGTCTGAAAGTTTGGGATGAGAAAGATCAACCAAGAGTTCATGTTGTCCCTGCTTTTGCCCCATATTATGCTCCTCAAGCAGAGGTACAGTGGACCCTATATGAACTAGATATTCATGTAGATCTTAATTGTTCTATGTCTGCTTAAAGAGATTGTTTTATCTTAACATTTGATAGGCAAATAGCACCATCCCAGTTTTATGTGTTGCAAGAAATGTTGCATGCAATGTCAGAGGTGGTTTTTTCAAGTAAGTGATGCTACTTTGTTAATTGTGTTTAGCTGTATCAACTATGCATATTTTTGACATCATGTAAGTCTTGCTACGTTGTTAATTGTGTTTAGCTATATCAACTCGCATATATTTGACTTCATGGTTCTACGTTTCGTTCGACTGCTATGTATTGAACGATACATATCGTCCAATGCATTGTCGGGTTGGCAGCATGGACCATGGCATATGCTTCCCATCAGTGCGTCTGTTACAAAAAGTTCCATCCATGACACATGCTGGCATACTATGTGTGGGTACGCCAGCAAGTATCAAACCTGAACCCGTCTGGTGGTGGACTGGCATGGGTCCGGTACTCGAAATGTCAAATCATGTTTGACATGAGAATTCTCTTAGTTCCTTGTAAGTTGTTTGACATGATCAGTCTTTGCTTTATTATAGGGATTTTGATGAAGGAATACTACCACGGATAAGTGAAGTTTTGTATGAAGACGAAATGAAGGATTTCCCACCTGCTCCAGACGTGGGCAATTTTTTGATATCAGAGGTAAATTTTTCTGTCGGTAAATTTCCAGGTTATGTAGACTTCTTTAACCTTTGATTCTTTTGCTTTAATTTCTCTTCTTTTGATTTAGGATGACGCTTTAACAGCAAATGCAAATAAAGATCAGGTCTGTCTTGATGGCATGGAAGATGCTGAGGTTGGGAAGAGATTGAAGGTACTTTTTTTGTTGAAAAATCACCAATTTCATGCTTTGAATCGGTAACTGCAGTTGATAATACATCTGTCCATTTTAACCTTGTACAGGAAGCAAGTTGCAGCATGCAAGCTGTTCAGCCCATGGTTACGAACTTTGGGCCGAGACCAGTATCTTCTTTACAAAATGTTCCTTCCTCATTCAACACAACCTCACTGACTGCTATGCGGATGGCAGTGCCATTACCTAATAATCAATGTGCTCAGTCGGTTCCAGTAGGTAGGCCTTTAGGTCAATTGGCCTCTCCAGAACCTAGCTTTCAGGGTTCTCCTGCTAGGGAAGAGGGTGAGGTTCCTGAATCAGAATTAGATCCAGACACAAGGAGGCGACTACTCATCTTGCAACATGGTCAAGACACAAGAGAACCTACTCCTTCGTTTCCTGTAAGCCCCCCACTTCGTGTCTCAATTCCTCCTGTACAACCACAAGGAAGTTGGTTTCCGTTGGAGGAAGAGATTGATCCAAGACAACAAGACAGCGCACCTAAAGAATTTAGTAGGGAACCAGATCCTGGACGTTACAGGAAACGATCTAGGCATCCATCTTTTATGCATGGTGGAGAGAACTCTGTTCCTTCTGATAGAGTTCTTCATGAACCTAGAAGATTACCCATTCAGGTGACTTATGTTTTTGACCTGGTAACAGTTAGGTATTGAAGTGTATAATTTTACTAGTTTAAACTTAAACTGATTTAATGATTCAGTTGCGTAATGGAGGTGATCGTTTGCAGCTAAATAATTCCTTGTCAAACTTCAATTCCTTCCAAGGTATGGTACATGAATGAAGACTGCATTTCCATTTGTCTGTTGCATGGTGGATTTTTTATTCTTTACTTTACCAAATGTGTACAAGTAACAAGTGCTTGCTGCTATTTATTAGCTTTATAGCATCAGTTTTTGTTAATTATATTTTTTTATCTTTTACTTCTATATAAGTGAGTTTTCGCTATAAAGTAATTTATGGAATTCTGATGTATATATTATCTTGCACACCAATGCGTATCTTTGTTAACATTGTTTGATCTCATGTGTTATGCCTCATCTCACACTTAATTAATAAGACCTTATTGTGTGTCTTTGTGCATGCTCATATTTTGCATCTGATAGTTTTCTTTTCCTTTGCATCCTCTTCTCTTTTGAAAGTTAAAGCACTGTTGTGAATGTCTGTCAATTATGCCCATTTTTAGGTCAATAGTGTGTTGATTTTGAGTTTAGTTCCATGACAAATGGTTCATAATTTCCTACTCATTCTATTTTTCATGTAAAATTATTATCTTATAGTCAGAGAAAATTGAAGCTTTAAATTGTTACTGACATATAAGTTATAATCCTTCCATTGATTAAGTTATATAGAATTGAAATTTTCATAAATTTGTAGCCTAATTCAAGTTGAATTTGTACATCAGGTAAGGAGGTTGCCATGGGATGTGGTGTGATCTGAATATAAAAGTTTGTTCTTTGTTTACTGATGATGTGTTTCTTACTTATCAATGGACAATAGGTCGACATGTAGTTTTTCAAAATTTTCCCAGCCCTCTGCTATATATTTTGGTTGTAACCTACCCTTCAAGAAACTAATAGATCTTTAGGTCCTATTGAATGCCTATATGTTGATTAAGTTATTTTGCTTTCAATCTGTAGATGTGAATTTTGCAGATTAACTGTCTTATTCTGCACTTGCTGTTTAGGGAAAATGAAATCTGTTTGACCATCATAGTTTACGTTACAATAATACTTTGTAGTCAGGATCTTACCTTGTTATTTTGGGTATTTTAAAATTTATTATTTCTTGGGCTTAATGTGAATGCTGACAATCAAGTTTCGGATGCTTGCTGAGATCAGCAATTATTGGAACATGAACAGTGAGATACTGTGAAAATATTCTCAATGACTTGAAATTACTGCTACCTCTTTCTGTAAGTGAGTGAAACTGAACCTTGTTTTTTAGTAGCCATTTTTCAGCTTTTATTCCATCGGCATAGCATAATTTGAATATTGAGCCTTGGAGATTTTCATGAGGTCAATTTGAGACAAATGGTCCAAGTTGTCATACTTCTGGTGCTTGGTGGAATAAGAGTTATTTTTTTTTATTGCTGAACTTTCATATTCGTTCCATTGTCAGATCCATAATTTAGTAATCCACAGGTCATATTACTTGAAACTTAAAAGAACCCTAATTCGTTCTTTTTAGTAAGCAAATTAATGAAATAGTTACAATTGAAACTAGAATTTCAAGCATCACAAGAACAGTGTGTGGCGAACGCGTTCATGGTTGGTAGTGATACAAATGTGGCCAGAGGAAGGGACAGCTGAGCACGTCAATTTGAAGAGCCATAGGACTAGCTATTTTTGGATTCAAGATGAGAGTCCTTTATATGAACCTCTTATACATGTATATCCAACCATGCAGGCATGCTTGGTGCATGTGGGGGTTCAAATGATCACAGTCTAAATCTTTCAATGTTAAGAAACCCTGCTGATGCAATTCCAGACAATTTGGGAAATTTCTTCTACCCACACAAGGCAGAGTTTTAGTTTCTGAGAATTGCTTTTTTGTGTCAATCCTTTGTAAAAATTCAGGATGGTTGTTTGTCACAGTAAATTGACTGAGCTACCCTATGGCTAGAAAAATCGTGTCATCTTTTTCTTGATCTCTTATCACCGTTGGTGATGTTCCCCCTAAAGATTAATCTGTCCAATGAGGAAATGAACCTTGATTTTTTTCTTACTTTTGGAGTTTCCATCTTTGTTATTTCTCCTCATTTTTGTTATTGCTCCTTTGTTATCATCATGTTGAACTCTTCTTTTTCACAATTATAATTTTTGAAGTAATAATATCTATTTTCTTTCCTTTTATGTGGATTCTTCATGATCATTGGCAAAGATTGTTCGAATTTTGTGAAATCTTTGATCATGGTTCACCGTACCGATTCGTACCGATGTACCGACCAATTGTTAGTATGGTACATACCGAGCTATATTGAGCCATACTAAGTATACCGATGCATAGTACATGGATGCGTGCCAATATACCCCACCTGTACCAACCCTCTGTTGGACGAGCATGTACCGCCCGTACTGAGCGGTATGCCATGGTACGATGAATCTAGCCTTTGATACACAATTACAATTTTCATAAATCTGTTTTACTTTGGAAGGATGTGTAGTCGTTGTTGTTCAAGCAACCTTTGGAAGGATGGGTCGACAACAATGCTTCTCAAGTTGATTACCACAATGGATATTATTATGGATTGTCCATTGCAGGGTGGGGAGTAGCACTTAAGCTTGACACTAGGTGTGTTCAATATCTCAGGATTTGAAGCTTCATAGTGGTCAAATGAGAGGTGAATGGAACATGAGAAAAAAGAATAATGAGGCTGAACTTTTCGTTGTAAAGCAGTTCAAGCAACCTTTGGCTCATGTTCCATGCTTTGGAACAAGTGCAGCAACTTTGCCATATAAGGATTAGGAACTCATTTTAATTTCTGGATCCCAAGAGCTTCTTATCATAAAAACTTTCCAATGCCCTCTATATCTATAAACAATTGGGAAGTTCTTTCTTTTTCAGGTACAGGCGTGTACAGGCATACGATCAAACAGATAACTTAATTCTAACAGTGAACAATTGCTAACCAATCAACAATTTCTTCACCACTTAGGGTCCCATTTCATGTACAACAAATATTCTCTGGGTAGTAATACTATTCTCATGTTATGTGGTCTGTGTTCATTTAATGTTGTTCATTAGAGATCTATAATTGGTGCTGGAATTCCTTTTTTTTTTGTGATTCAGTCAAATTTCTGATTTGTTGCACATTCTGTATCAGATTGTTGTCAAAAGTGGTCTAAGTTGTGTTCTCACTATCTTTGTTTTGTTTCGTCTTGGAACTAATGGGCTATGCTGCTTTTTTCCAAACTTGCAACGTAAAGGTGAGGAGATGCCTATGGGTCGAAACTTTTCAAGGCACAAGGACGCACAACTTGAACCTAAACAGGCTACCATAAAGCAAGCAGGATCTCCTCCTGGAGTTCTACAGGAAATAGCAATAAAATGTAGAAATAAGGTAGTTTTCAAAATTCTGGTGTATAGATATCAAGCTGCTAATTGATGTTTTTGACTTTTTTCATACTTTTATTAGGTGGAGTTTCGAAGCACTCTCTGTGATACGGCAGAATTGCAGTTTTCTATCGAGGTATTAAGACTATCCGGTCAAGAATGACTTTTAGAAGTTCTCATACCATTCCTGTGTTTCCATTTTTTTGTTGATAATAGATGTTCACTGAAGTATATTTTTATACTATGCTGAATATGGTTGGCTTATTATTTACTCAGCTTGATTCAGAACCATATGTAAATATTGGCATTGTAATCTCTTAGTATGGGTTTTCTGTCTCATATCTTTTAAGGAATATAATGTAGGTGTCATTGACCATTGTTATTCCTTTATCATGACTCTAGATTTTGACTGATTTTATTGAATAATGGGTTTATTTTTGTATGTCAAATGTTCATGAGAGGGGGATCTTGTTTTCTTTCCATTTTATCAGTGTTTTTCTGGATTTGATTTTGCATGTGCCACTTCTATTGTACTGTAATGACCCAGTCTGTGAGCTTGGAACTTGGTTCGAAGTGCTTAAATTCTGCTAGTTGGTTTTCTGATTTCACATCTATAAATGCATCCTTTCTTTTTTTCTGATGCAGCCCCCCCATTGTTCAAATTCTTGGTTTTTTTCCCTTTAGTTTTTCGACTATGGTTGTTATGGAATTCGTGAGATATCACAACTCTACCATACTACCTCCACCATACCATACTACCTCCACCATTTTCTGTATGCTTTTCTTTGCACATTGTAGGTGTCAGTTCCAATACCACTTGTGTGATCCATTTTCAATCTACTGGTTCAGTAGGTTGCATGGAATGGATTAAATAGCATCATGCAAAATGTTTAAGCTTATGATACCAGTAGTTAGCAGAAGCTACTAGATTATGCTTTCCAGTTTCCACTTTTACTAGTATGGATATAGTATTGTTCAAGTATTGATTCTCCATTAAGTTTTTGATATTGTTGTTATCATCAACTCAATCTCTAGGCTTCATTGTTAATATTATGGAATTAGGGCCTTAGCATATGATGCTGTAAGAGGTACTGGAGTACAAACTTTGTGGTCCCTTTTATGGGCTAATGCTCTATAGTTTATATATATATATATATATATATATATATATATATATATATATATATATATATATATAGTGGATGATGTGAGGCCATCTTTGTCTAGAGTTTAGACACTAAAAATATAAAGGTAGACTTTTGGCTACTTGTACTGTTCATCCACCTTTGGAAGTTTGAAGAATCCTCTTTAGTTGAGTGGCTGAATCTCTGTTATGGTTTGGCATTTTTATGGTTCTTTTTTTATACAGTAATGATCTAGACTTCTAGAGGATAAATTCAAGATGTGGTTTTCCCTTATCTTAGCACCTGTACGCATAAAAAATATTGAGGTATATGTCAGTAATGTGATTAGAGGCTTTCTGGATTTATTTCTGCATTGGATATGAAGGAGGACCCTGAGTGAGAAGCAGCTGGTCCATGAAATGGAAAATCAAACTCCTTTGGAGACTAGTAGAAGAGGGTACTATAAAGTCCTAGCACCTCAGTGACTGCTACACATGGGTTAATGCACTATGGAATCTAGGAAGATGTAGTAAGCCCTGAGCCTGATGAGGAGACAAAATTTGTTAAGCGCCATTCCTAACAGCTTGGTGTGCGGTCCTCCGGATTTCATTCTGCATAGGAACCGCAAGTGAGGATTCTAGGTTGTGTAGCATGTTCTTTCTTCCCAGTGAAAGTGGGCATGTTGCAAGGTTCTACATTTTAGGTATTGATCCATGGCAGACCGGTTTGGGTTGAATCTGTGGCAGTATGTCAACAGATGGTATGCTGGTTCATAACATGGTACAAAGAAGGGGCGAGGAGGAGGCAGCGGAGGAGGAAGAGAAGAGTACCAGATGCCAGGGGCAGCAGGTGGCATGACATCGGGCGGTCAGCAGGTGACGGCATAAGAAGATGAATTGCACAAGCGAGAGAGGTTGGGGTAAAGGAAAAAAGGAAAAAGGTTGGTGGGGTGTGGCGGGCACAGAATAGGGTTTCTTATTAGGTTAAGATTACACACACAAAAAAGGAACCAGACTTAGCACCTAGTCCAGGTCTATTACTGGGCCTGGAATGGACAGTAAGCCCTGACCACATGGATATACTGGTCGAGACAACAAATTAAACCTTGGCGGACAGGACAGTATATAGGGCCATTAGGTAAAAGTTCAATGTCTTCACTCATTTCCTGCTCCTATATTGATGAAGCCAGATGATGTACATGTCATAATCCATGTTTAACCAATAATATCTGAACAAAAGTCACATCTATTCACAAAGTAAAATTCAAGTACTTGTTTGCATCCAAGTTTAATTTAAATATTTGGTTTATATCATATTAGTAAATACAAACATATGTTAAGAACTCATTCGAACTTGTAAGGAGGCGATGTGTTAGAGGTTCACGAAGAAATCCGAAACCGGTTTTTGAATGCAAGTCCACTTGAAAGCATGTAGGGGTCCAGTAGCATGTGTCCATGCTACAAGTGGCTTACTTGCAAGCAACCAAATGCTTGCAAGTGGATTACTTGTGGCAACCTCACTTGTAAATGGTCCACTTGCAAGCAACTAATCACCCCCTTAGTACATGTGAAGGGGAAAAATGAACTTTAGCAACCTTACTTCTTTACTTTCCTATTTTCTTGCCTAATGGTATAACTTTTATATTTTTTATTGATCTCATGGATGACTATTGCTCATTTTCCTTGTTTCAGAAAGAATTATTTTCTTGTGATGTTAATCATGCATGTTTTTACTTGCCAGGTTTGGTTTGTTGGAGAAAAAGTAGGTGAGGGGGTTGGCAAAACAAGGAAAGAAGCCCAGCATCGAGCTGCTGATATGTCCCTTCGGAATTTGGCTGGTATGCTTTTGCCATTTATAGTAGCTAGACAACAATTATTGATGAACCTTAATAATATCTGAAGGCAAAATAAAAATCTACAAATGATTGTTTTCTGTAGTTTTCTTTTCAATGCAGTAAGTCAAATTATAATTTTGAGCAATGAGACCATTAGGAACTCTTCTACATTTCTGAATAACTACTGAGAAAATTAGTTTGTCATTTTCTAGTAACTTCTCCTACATTGTTAGCTTTCACGAATGATATTCATTATGATGTTAACTTCTTTGAATCAATCTTATCTAACCTTTACATTTACGTATATGCTTAAGCAATGACAACTTCAAGCTACATCAAACTACTAGTTGAAATTTCGTTTAGCTTTATTCTTTTGTAGTCTTTACTCTTTCCCTCAAAAAAGTACTTTTTGTATGCAATTTAGTTAATCCTAATTTTAATTTCAGATAAATACTTGTCAAATGCTCTGGGTGGCCCTAATACTGTACATGGAGATCTACTTAAGCTCCCTCAAACCAAAGAAATGGGTCTTTTAAGTGATTCAAACTCTTACGGCTATCAGCCATGCCCCAGGAATGACCTTTTGCCAGTTGCAAGTACTTCGGAAGATTCTCGTTCCATGGATCAGAGATTAGAGAGCTCAAGAAGAACATCTGCTACTACTTCCCTAAAAGAACTAGTATGTTACTTCTATAGGACACTTGTATGTGTATTTCAGGCATTTATTCCACGATATTTATTTCTGATGTTTCTGCATGTTAGTGTGTCATGGAGGGTTTCGATCTTGTTTTTCGAGCCGAACCTTCACCTTCTAATGGATCAATTAGTAAAGGGGAAGTGTCAGCGCAGGTTATTCCCTAACTTAATTTTTTTTACAATTTAGTTTGAAAAAAACAATGTATTGTATCAGTGATGTATTACCTGAATAGGCTTATTGGTTTAATATCTCTTGGTCAACAAAAATTCATATAGTAAATCTCTGTTTTTCAGAAGTTCTGAACATTAATTTAACCAAAATTTTGAGTTGTATCCTTCCATTTGTGGGGGCTTCAGTTGATCGACAATATACGTGGGAATGGGTACCTTTTTATGTGTAGAATCTTGGTTAGATAAGGTGTAATGTGCTACCATGCTAGCATCTTCTCAATGCATTATTAAGAGAGTTGAATGTTGTTAAGAGTGAAACATGTATGGTGCGGCAAGTTTGCATCTGGGTGCTGTAGTCGGTCATCACGCTAGTCTCACACTAGAGGTCCCCGGTTTGAACCCCGATTCAACATTTTTGAAGGAATGTGTCACCTAGTTTAGCTGGTAAAAGCCTTGACAGTTTATTGCAAGGTCCTGGCTCGAATCTCGCCTTCATCACTTACCCTTTGCAAATATATATATATATATATATAGCATTTATTTATTTATTTATTTTTCTTATTGCAAATGGTTGAGTAGTCAATCAGCTTGGCATGGCACCTTAAATAAATTTGATCAAGGGTAAGTGGTGAAGTCTTTATTCATCCCAAGACCTTGATATTAACAGTCTTGTTCTTTACTGGCTAGTACCTTATGGCTGAGGGTAAGTAATTTAAGATGAAAGTGTTCTCGGACTTTGAGCAATATCTTGTGTTCTGTCATATTAGCTGGTCATGAAAATATATATGAAAACCGGAAATTTCTACTTCAGAAACATCTGTAGTGTTGTTTCCCTTTTAGAAAGACTTAGGGACCAAAATCCAAAGTAACACCCAGATCAAACAGTCTGCCTCCATCCACAAATAGCTCATTCTTACTCGAGCCCTTATCATATCCTCCAATGCATCTATGATACTATTTGTTATGACGTGACCCGTTAGGATAACCAGCTGAAGTATTTAATTGTGAAATGTCCACTTAAGCTAGATTCCCATTTATGTACTTACAATGAAATTCATACTTTGAAAAAGTGAAGAAATTAACAATTGGTTCATGAGTAAAAGTGTGACTTCTCTTCCGTTACTATTCTCTTACGGACCACTTTTTTATCTGCTTATTGCCTTTTCAGGTAGAAATAGCAAGACAGATCTTGGGGAGAGGGGTTGGAATGTCCTGGGAAGACGCCAAACTCCAGGTAGTATATTTGGATACCCTCCCAGTTCTCCTTCTAATCTTTGTTCTTTGTTTCTTTTCTTCTCCTTTGTATTGTAATGCAACGCTGTCTAGTGTTATAATGCCAGGGAAATGGATACCTTACTATTATATATTTAAACCAGGTTGTTAAAATTTTGAACTGGAGCACGACCTAAATAAATTAAAGTCATGTTGAGTTTCTATACTAGGCCCACCACTTGTCAATGATACCTGAGCTCAAATCTGCTCTGAATTGGCCATGGATTTAGTCAGGCGAAGTCACCCAGCTTGCCATCTGAGATTTAGGTTGAAATTCAAAATCAGATGTTCATTTTCAGGCATAAGCTGTTTTTTTCTGTTGATTAGTCAAAACAGATATTAGTATTTGGACTCCAATTTTCTATATGATCGGTAAAAGCTTCTGTTAATTTGCTCTGTTTGTGGTTAAAACCTTTATTTCTCCAAGGGTTGTTTTCTTTGTTTTAGCTTCTACCAGGCTTTCTTTGCTCTTCCTCTTTTGTAAGCAGTACCTCTGAGATACATTGATCCACCGCTTAATAGTGTTGTGGTCTTTACTGCACTTCATAGATAATGATGTAAATTTTGTTTCCTTGATAAAATATAGTTGACCAATGTCACCAATCTTAATTTTGCATCAATTCTACAGGCGGCCGAAGAAGCTCTTGGAACTTTGAGGTCCATGCTTGGACAATATTCTCAAAAACACTCTAGTTCACCAGGGTGAGATTACTTTTTTGCATAGAATGCCTAATTACGCTCTTACTTTGTTGAAACCATTTTTATTTTAAAGACAACTTTGATGTCTCAAAATATTCAAGCATGAGAGTATTTAGCAACATATTGCTCAATGATTTTTTGGACTGCCAATAGTGTGCATGAATGTTTTTGTTGTAGGAGTTGAAATTGCTTGAAAAACTAGGAACCTCCATGAAATTGCTCAAGAGTTGCATGCTTTATTGGTTAGAGGCTTGAATGCTTGGAAACACTCTTTCAATTTTACAAAGGTTGACTCATTTGAATCTTCTAATTGTTGGAAACATGATCCTGGGATCTTGCAGAAATTGATGTTTGTTCATTTCGCTAATTTAGAGCCTTGAAGGAATCTGCTGTCATTTTTTTATTTATTCATGATTCATTGTTGTTCATTCTAAATAAAAAAGGCATGGTCATCGGTGGTGGTTCTTTATAGTTTTCGGGTACAAGAATTTGTGCAATTGGTTCATATCGTTTTTATAGCCTCTCTTTGACCAGTAATCCCCAGTTAATCATACTTCCAATTGCTTTACATCTTCCTCTCTTTTTTTCTTCGTTCTCAGGTCACTGTCGATGATGTCAAACAAGCGTTTCAAACCAGAAGTTTCACATATACTGCATAGAATTCCACCTTCTGGAAGATATTCTAAAAGCGAAACTCCTGTGCCTTGAAGGCACTGTGCTACCAGCCCACTTCTTCAATGGTTATCATATTAGCTTTGTGGCAGAGCAAGCCAGTTGAGTTTAATCGGGAACCAACTCCTGAAAACGTTGAGCAGACTTCTCAAGTAAATTGATAAAAGCTATATCTCATCCATTCTTGGGCAACCTTAGCAGAACCTCTCTTGGAAGCATGTAGCCGTGCACGTCAATGCGGATTATACTTTTGTGTTTGGGATCACATTGCAGCTTGAACCTGTCAATTTGGCAACAGTATCAAACCACCTTTGTTGCCCGATAGTTGGGAGATCCCAAATGAATATTAGAACTTTGGGGCTCCTGAGAGGTTCTTTCTATTTCTTCGGGTTTCTTGCATTTTTTTTTTAATTTTAGGCTTTATGTTTCCAACATTCTCTAGTTTTAGTCGACAAAGTCATTTTGCTGTAAACTCTCAAAACATTTACTGACAACTGGAATGGCGAGTCGGTAGAGTGCTTTGTCCTAATCTTTCTATGGACTTGTGTACTGCCAGTTATGGTGAGTCAGTAGAGGTTTCACGAGCAGAAGATGTTTCTTATGTGGATCTTGATGCGTTCGAGGAGTCTGCTCATGATGCTCGGTGGAAATCTTGTTGCCTTGTCTGAAGTCACTTGAAGCAGCAGCATTTGTTGACAAGAACTTGATTACTGAATTATTAGTGATCTTGTGCTTTTCTAGTCCTGCAACTCGAAAACAAGAGATCTACAGCTGCTGCTTATGACTTGTGCAAATGGAACACTAAAGCCTACTTATACAGATTATTTTGAGTGAGAAGCCAACCATGAAACTTGCAGCACTTGTGTATGATTCAGATCCCTGTTATATTCATCTGCATGAATGGAGCTATCCCAAACAAGAAAACCCTTCATCTTAATGGTCACAAGCAGGATGCAGATGTGAAACTCCATGCAGATGCTGATTTCATCTTGCTACATGATGCTATTGCTTTTTCTCTTTCTTTGAACTCTCTTATGATAGCCTTTGAGGGCAGCCTTCATGAAATCCTTTGAACTTCTGAAGCACTCATTTCTTGGTAGCATGAAAGACTGTGGATTACAGCAGCAAACTCTGTTCTAAAGTGACACAGAGATTGATACTTTTAGCATGAGCACGAAGAACACAGTTCGAGGTACTCAGACAATCCAAGGTTGAATGAAGTGATCTCGAGTCCACTGATCGGAGACAAATGGTTGATGGAGGCCTGCAGAAACATTGTGATGTGACAGGGGGGATAGATAAGAAAGATCCAAGAGCTGTAAGACTATGACTTCAAAGTCAGCTGTAGGTGTTTAAAGTCGGAGGTCTTCCACAAGGTTGCCAATGATAGGGTTGGCTACTGCTGGTGGTGGTGATTTGGGGCCAGTCCTCAACATCTCCACCAAAGCTCCCTCTTTGGATGGCAGTGTGCTTTCTGATATCTTTTCAGAGCTGTTCATCTGTGACAGAAACAGAAGTCAGGCAATGCAAAGCCGTAAATGAATTGCTGAGCCAACTGTTTTAGTGTCAGGGAGTCAGAGGTCTTACAGTCATATCTTTTGCCTTATAAACCAGAGAAGAGAGACTCGAATTGTAGCTGGAATTTCCAGGAAAATGTGAGTGCATCTACATCTTGGAGTGTAGAATGATGTCAAGTAATAATTTCTAGGTTACTTGATCATTTACTTCTGTGCAAGAATGATAGCAGGATATAAACTCTGAGATTTTTGGCACGCAGAGATAACAATCAGAAGTCACAGGCTGTCTCATAAAATCTGCAACCAGTGAAGTAGACAGAGTAAACTGCATGCCGGAATCTTCCAATGCATGATATCCTGATGTAGTAGATGCAGAGAGGAGAGGAACGGTGGCAAATCTGATATCCTAACATGCAGCAGATAAGATTCCTATAGTCACACTGGATGCCTCGTAAAAATCTGCAACCTGTGAACAAAGCAGCTGCATGATCTGCGCGAGGTTGCCGCAAGCTCTGTGCTACTGAACCATTGCATGCATGGTGACAATGTGGTTGATGCAGGAAGAAGAAGTAGATGAGAAATCTATTTGGTCACTCCTTCCACAAAAACACGGAAGAAGAAGGGCCAGGACCAGCAGTAGAAGACGCGTCAGCATCCGGAGATGCTGTCGTCGTTGCGGCTGATGATGGTGGTGCGGCATTGGAGGGATCCATGTCGGCGAAGCTCGTGAACCGGGAGTGGAGGAGCAAGCTATTGGCTCCGTCGATGTCGTCCCATATGGAGCTCCCTGGCCCCCAGGTGCTGAACCATTCTTCCGCTGCTGCAGCGGTGTTTCCCCACACCATTTCGGGTGTTGTTGTCTCGGGGGCTGTAGGCTCCGATCCACCGGATTCATCAAGCCCTGACGCGGAGCCGTCGCCGCTGCTGGAACTGCCGATGACGGTGGCAGTAACGCCTGTAGTCTCAAAAGCCACAGGTGGAGGTGGCCGGGGTTGCGATTGGTGGTGGATGGTTTGTGGTCGAGCTTCCTCAGGCGTGGCAGGAGGAGAGGATGAGGAGGAAGAACAAGAAGCCCCGCCTCTGTCACCACTACCGCCACCGGTGCCGAGGAAGAGATGAGGAAAGTTGAGCTTCGCGTTCTCCCCTCTTAGCTTGAACGCCTCGCGGTCGTAAGCGAGGGCGGCTTCCTCGGCGGTGTTGAAGGTTCCGAGCCAGAGGCGGCTGCGGTTCCGGGGGAGGCGGATCTCCGCCACCCACTTCCCCCAGTGTCGCTGCCGCACGCCGCGATACAGCTTCGCAGGCGTCAGGATGGGGGGCAGCAACGGGCGCGGACAAAGGGAGGAGGGGTGCAGCGGGCGGCTCATCGCCATCACCATCCGCGCGCGTGGGTTAAGGTTGAGCGCCTCGCTCCAGTACCTCAGGAGGTACTGCTCCTGATACACCCGATGCTGCAGCTGCTGCTGTGTCGCCGCCGCTTCTTCTGTCGTCATGAATGGAGGAGAGGGAGGATACGTTCGGATCTGATGGGGATGATGACGTCCGAATGAGATCATCTGTTGCTGTTGCCATGGCGGCGGCTGATGATGCAGACTGGAACGCGCGGGGGGTGACAGTGTCGGATCAACGACAGCCCGAGAGCTGCCTGCCGAAGCAAACGGAAAAAGAGGCTTGGAATATAAAGTCGAGGACGAAGAAACCGGAGGGCCAGAGAAGGAGCTGGAAACGGGATTAGAATTCGAGGAACACTGAGAAGAAGATGAAGACGAAGAGGTTGAAGTAGAGGAATAGTGATGGCGTCGATCGGGACTTCTAATTTTCTTCAAAGGCCGAGGTTGCACGGACGTCCTCTGCACTCCCTTCTGTCTTCCCCCGCCATCACTCCCTTCCATGGCTTCCGCACAAACCAAGAACAAACAGTAAGCAAGATAGTCCACATGCGATCTGCCGTAGGAGCAACACCGCCACCTTCCTCTCTTCCAAGAGGAAGAGAGGAGACGAAGGAGGTTGAATCGAAGAAGCAGAGCAGCGCGTTTGATACAGGGGAGGGACGGGTGGAGGGTTTTAAGAGCAGGGAAAAGATTTGGGGTAGCCCACACCGGTCGGTCGGTGGGTCCCACCCGCATTCCGACTGCGTTCCTCCCATTGGACCTTCTCCTCCATTCACTGTCGCCCAGGTTGATCTCAAGATTCCCAACATGGAGTCATCTCCCTCCCTCTCCCTCTCCCTCTCCCTCTCTCTGTTGATCTTAGCTTTCACGAGAAGCTGCGAGATCTGTCGATGAGGTCCTAAGCATCAGTCAAACCGACAACAGCAACCACCACCAACCCGCCGCTGTTCGGTGGACTCCGCTTTCGGCACACGGGAAAGTCGACGGAACGAAGCCAAGCGTAGACCCCGGGGGGTTGTGTGGGCCAGGGTCGGTGACACGTGTCCGTATTCTACAACTCAACTCCCCACCACCCTCACCGCAGCAATCGTCGGCACAACGCGCTCAAACTGTAGCAGCTCCGACTCGGATTACCGGACGCGTGTCCGTCTCTGGTTGCAGAGTAACTCTTTGCGCGACACGTGTCCCGTCAAACGACATCAACTAGTGGTTGACTAATTCGGAAATAAGTCAATATTTAATTAGATTAAATACATCGGAGATATTTTTTGGAACGTCAAATTCTTCTCTGATTAATCGAACTTCTTGGATTAGACATCACTCAAAATATAAATCAAATCGAACAATTCCAATCGTATCGAGTTGACGATTAAAATTGATTGTGTCATCATTAAATCACCTAATTTTTAATAATGAAACATTTATTATGTAAAGAACACGATATTTATATTTTGCATTGGGATCATTATACAATCAGGGAAGTATTTAATGTTTGACCATTAGCTTAAGCATGATCATAATGGACACCAGAGGAAGAAGGCACCATAATTGAGTGGGATTGGCGGCTAAGCTTAGTTCTTAAGCTTATCTTTTTGGCTAAATTAATTAGTGCTTGATACCTAGAATATGCATGATGACTACCACCAGCTTTGTTTAAGCAAAGTCAACTGTAGTGAGAGGAAGGTGGGGTTGGTGTCATCATCTCAGTGTAACTTTGGTCAAACAACAAAATGATTGATTGTGTGACAGCTAAGATTATACTTTATAAGACACAACACTTCTGAGTGATCAAAGTTGGACAATATCAACACCAATCTATAGTAGCACAAAGTGTAATCACAGATCTATGAGTTCTTCCACTAGAAAAGGAAAACACTAGACATCAGATAAAAGTAACTCTGGACATAATCACAGCGCAATCCACCTGTGGCATCTTCCTTGTGGGGATGCATAGATTTGGCTTATAAAATGCTGAAGTTGAGGGGCATCCTGTTTTCCCCTTTGCTTCCCTGGAGGGAGGTACTATGATAAGGTTCCGATGTACACATCGACTTTGTCATTCATTTTCCTCGATAGAAACTTCATGCATATCGGTGGCTTCACTTGAGCAAGTGCGAGGACTGCTTGCGGTAGAGTCCATATCCCGTCGCCGCAGATCAATCCAGATGCCACTGCAGGACCAAAGGCATCTGCCTTGGCCTTGTTCAACTGTTCCCAAACGAATAGTATCACGCTTCCCACAAACATATCGATGGCGAAGTATGATCCAATGTAGAAAGGTATAGCCATCGCCATGGGGATCGGAATAAACCTCGCCACCTTCTTGGGAGACAAATCTCTTGCCAAGTTAATTGCAATGGCTAGGGCGAAGAATATGTAGCAGAGAGTGAGGCAGTGTTTTGGCAGCGACGAGAAGCCATCGACTCCAAGTATTGCCATGTTTCGGTAGATAATGGCGTAAGGTGCTGGGTATTCACTGCCGGGCATGCCGATGTCTTTGAAGGCCTTGAAGAAAAGCCAGAAAACACATGGAGCAATCACACAACCCATGGAAGTGCCGATGACTTGGCTCACGAACATGGACCGCGGAGAAGCTAGAGTTAAGTATCCGGTCTTGAAGTCTTGCATGAGATCTGATGCGGTGGATACAACGTTCATCATGACACCACAGGCAGCCAGTCCTGCAAGCACACCGCCATGAGAGGCACCTGCCCAGGCTCCAAAGATGAAGATAGCAAGCTTTCCGTAGGTGGAGGCCAGAGACCAATCCGTGAGGCCGCAACCGTAGGCATTGCAGAAAGCTAGAACTGGGGCGAAAACATAGGCAACCAAGATGAAATACCACTTGAGCGGAGGAAAGATGTGAGGAAGTGTAATGATGGAGATAATGGCAACCGCAATGTAGCCCCCAAATGCCACCCACTTTGGGATTTGATCTTTAAGGAAGACCTCAGTTCGCCTTTCATCATCAAACGTAGTGGGTGTTGTTGCAGGGCGGTCATCATCTGAGACAGGGAGAGTGGTTGTGGGGCGCTTCCGTGCTGCGGTAATGAAGGCTGATGTTGTTCGATGTAGGACCTTCAAGAAGTTATAGAGGCCATCACCGAGAATCATGGCAATGCCTATGAAGACCTGCACAATGGACAGAGGATGAATAGGAGAGGGTGGAAATGTGATGGTAACCAATTGATAGTAAAGGAGTGAGAATTTACCCTGTAACCCTGCAATCCATGAAGACTGGTCGGTGAGAGACTTGCTGAATACCAGTGGCCTTTTTGATTGTTTATAAGGGGCCACATGATTCCCCAAGAAAGGATGGCTCCAAGGAGAACAGATATATTCACCATATACGGGCAGATCATTCCAACTCCGACATAAGTAGCAGAAAAATCAAAGAAAAACCTGATAAAATACATCAAGAACCCACGATCACATGACCATACTTTCTCCCAAAGCTACATAGAGACAATTTAGGTTGTCCATGATACCTGTTGTCATAAGCTTTAAGACCAAGTGTAGGAAATGCTGCAAATCCACAATCGTCACCAGCAGTATAAAACCACTGAAAGAATCCCCACAGGAAGCTAATGACAAAGAACTTGCCTAATGTCCAGACTTGTTTTCTGCAACAAATTCAAAGTTCAGGAACAAATCTCTCAGAAAAGAACTAATGGAAAGAGGAAGGAAATTTTAGACATTTGAAAGATCTTTACTTGGCCAGCTTTTCACCCTGAGGAGTATGGAAGCCATTGATAAGGTATGCAGTGGCAGTACCACTTGGATAGATCAGCTTGTAGTCAATGATCATTATCTGAAATAAGCATTCCCGTCAACAATTATACTGTTGAAACCCGAAAAGAAAGCACTATTAATTACTAGAAATTCACTGTAAAAGTTGGACTCACCTTTCTGAGGGGAACAAGAGAAAATAGTCCAAGAAAGCTAACCACAAACATAAATCCGATCATCCATCCGAGTTTTGGTTCCTTTATGTTCTGTGAATTATTTTCTTCTGTTGCTTGGTCTGCAATTCTTGAACTCATGCCGAAAATGTAACTTCCAAAACCACCTGTTCACAAACTCTTTATTGCACTATGATACAGATAAGACAGGTAGGAAAAGCAATCTCACTGTAGGTTAAAGGCATTCAGATTGTCTGCTAGAGTAGTCGAGCAATTTCATAGTTTTCTTTGTCAAGATGAATCCAACTCGCAACTGAGATCTTTTAATAAGATGATGAACAGAGATATATATAATAAAAAAAAGGAAATACAGTCTTGTTGTAGTTCTTCCAGATGGAGAATGATTTGTGCTCATATTAGTCAACACTATCAGAGGATATAGCAATAAAATCAAAGACTACTACCGCATTAATATGATCATTGATATAACTAATATTCTCAAAACATAGTTACAGCTAAAAGATTATTTATTTTTATAACTATACTATATATTAATATTGCTAATTGATGTTCTAGAAGACCACTACTTTACGATTTATCATTCTTTCCCGAGACAAATTTAAGTTTTGAAACTCATGTTATATGGTTTGATAGAGATACTAGACTCACCTCAATCCAATGTTTCGGGACAAAGACAATTCGAAGAAATAGCCTAACCAGTGTTGTAAATATATAAAATGGGACAAAGAATAATGGCCCTCTGCACGCAAGAAAAATATCCACACTACATTCCACAAAGATGAGAGCAGACAAAAAACAGTTGAAGCCAGCTACACTTGGTTGCTCATGGTGGTCCAAGATACATGTCTCTTTTGAAATTCAAACTCGGTGACCACCACCACAAAAGTTGACCAAAATTGCTTATCTAGGACCGCTCTATTGCCCAAGTTTCAATACATGAATTCCCTTCCAACCTCTCAAACTATTAGTTTCCCCTGAAGTCACGTACCGAGAAAAAAATTCCATACAAGTTCAAATGTAAAACTTTGGATATATCATGTCACCCAACAAGTCCAAATATGTAAGTTATATAATATAAACCATGGATCATGAACTAGGATAGAAATTTCTTGAGCACTTTAAGTTATGGATCAGATTGGTAGAGTTGGTATCAGAATAGGTTTAGGTCATTTATGCGAGCCATGGAGTCTGTTTCCCTATGTCAGAGACTAATAAATGTTTCTACCAAATCAAAGCAACAGTGACTATGTATCTAAGGCATTAATGAATGGCAAATGCTTTTGGATAAAGCTGTACAGCAATGCTATTTGCTTACCATGATAAAGTGTAATAAAACATATATTTAGCTATAGATTCCTTCAACTAAAAAAAATCTATAAATTAGTAAAAATCCAAGAAAAACTCTTTTGTCATCACAAGAGATTTTTCTTTTTAGCGGAACCAGAGATTTGTGCTATTTCATCCCCTTTTCTCTTTTCTACTCCTCAATCCACATGAGGTGTTAGAGAATCCACACAAACCCAAGAGAAAACAACATAGATCATATAATGGAATTTTTGCTTAAGATTCCATGAGATCCCACTTCTTATTCCTTACTCTCTCCCCCTTTTCCCCTTCTCAATCTCTCATCCGATTTCAATTCTGCCACTAATCCTGCTTCTGCTCTCTCTGCTTCCTCGGATCAAAAGCCAAACTCAGAGTTCAAGTGGCAAGGCAATGATCACAAACTTCCAAACGTCACCTAATGCCACAAGCCTCCAAATCCACAACCCATCACCCATCCACCGCCTCGATCAGGATCTGCAATCCGACACATACAACCCTACGGATGATGAATGATCCGGTGCAAGCGACCAAATCAGCAACAGCAGCCAGGAGAAAGAAGAGAGGGCGAGAAGAGGATCAATACCGCTGAAGGCGAGGCCGTAGGCGGCGACGACGCAGGTCTGGATGACGGTGTTCTCCTGGCGGGTGAAGGGGGTGCGGAGGAGGCCGGTGCTCTCCAGGCCCTTGGTCCAGAGCTTGACGAAGAAGAACCCGAGGAGGCCGGCGGCGACGTTAAGGGAGGGGATGATGCCGGTGGTCAGGTTCAGCTTCATCACGATCACGCTGAACATCACCGACAGGAAGAAACTCACCACCAGTGCCCGCGCCGTCAGCTGCTCCCGCCACCCCGGCACCCGCTGCCCCTCGAACGCCCGCTCCACCGACACCGGCCCGGTCTCTTCCTTCCTCGGGTTCTCCGCCATCGCCACCTCGTTCCTATCCTCATTCCCCATTCTTCTCCCTCCCTCTCCCCTCACTCTCGCAGTGCGGCTTTAAAGAAAAGCTGGCATGGTGGCGGTGGGGACACGAGCGTGTTATCCCGATCACGACCTATGCGTGGGATGTGTGAGCGCCAGAGGAGAGGAGATGGGTGGGAAGAGAGGAATCCGGCGGACCCACTTGCAGGCATTCCACGGTTCATTGGATTTGACTTGGAAGCCGGCCATCGAGATCATCATCCATCTCCAATCTTTCGAGGAGATAGATCCGCATCCGCATCCGCATCCGCTCGTAGATCCGAAAGTTAGGGTCAAATCCAAGTTCTTATTTTCTGATTTATCTTTTGATCAAAAGCATAAAAACACAAAACAAAACTGTTATTATCCTATCATGATTTCTTGATTGGATTAGGATCTTAATTTCAATAATATATATTTTCTTTCATATTTTTCACCACTATATTAATATTTCTTCCAACCTTAAACAATTTTCAACTCATTTATGATGAAAGATTTTTTTAAAAAAAATCATAATTTAATGTTAATAAATTTAATTTTTTTAATTATTTTTTTTTAAAAGATAAGTGATGAATGTGATATTAAAATAAATGATTTTACGATAAATCTTACCGACTAAACTAATTGATACATTCAAATTTTAATTTTGTTACTAATATCTCTATCCTAATTAGTTTCTCACACTAATCAAATGTACATCCTTTTATACTTGAAGTGAAAGGTTGTTCATTAGACAGTTCCCATGGGAAAGAAGACAGCACAGATATGGAGCAGTAATGAGAGCCTGCACTCAATCAAGATCAAGAACTGACTTGGTGTGAGCACAGATATGGCTTCCATAAACTAAATGATATGAAAGCTGCTTTACCAGATTAATCCCCACTGACACTGTCGAACTGTTCATATCCTTCCCTCTTCTTCTCTTCCAGCACATTTGTAGATTCTTTTTTGTGTTAGCTTCCTCCTCATCTTCTCTTCGACCACATTTGTAGATTCTTTATTGTGTCACCAGTCCAGATTAGCTTCCTCATCTTCTCTTCCACCACGTTTGTAGATTCTTTATTGTGTCACCAGTCCAGATTGGTAAGCATTCACATCCACTTCTTAGTGTTTCTTGTTGTTGTGTGTCTTCTTCAATATCCTGTTTCCAGACTTGGATGAACACTGCCAAGAAACTGTTGACCTCAATGTTTCACACCTCAATTTCAAGTTCTTTTGTCTTCGATAACATCAAATACTGTATTATTAACTTGAGCATGCATGGATCATATCTAAAACAATCAAATACTATATTATTCGGATCTCTGAACCCGATCGAACCACTTTGATACCATGGATTGGTTGGGTAACCAAGAGCTGCATCAACATCGATATTATCAAGTGGGGACGCTGGAAACTGGAAAGCTTGGAAACCTGGAAGATATCAAGTGGGGATGGGGATGGTCTTCTCGTTGACTGCTGAAAACTGTGTAGCTTGGAAATCTTAGATCCAGTTCATACCAGGATTCTTGCATGGCTGCTGAAGATATTGTTCGACCAGGAGGTTCGATCTGAACTGGCTTGTGGATCTCACGCCATGACTGAGATGCAATCAAGGAGTTGAATGCAGCATTCAAACCTGCATTTGTTTGCGGGCCGCAGCTTGGAATCGAGACAGCTGCACTCCATGCAAGTCAACCGTTGCAATCTTCACCGGGGTTTATGGTGTTGTAAGACTTTGACTCGGTAATACAAATCAATAAGATGATGTTGATGATGAAAGAAACTATTTTCATGCGTAGAGTTACAGGAAATAGCCTGAAATATGCAGTCTTGAATGGTAAAAAGGTTGATCGGATCATATCAATTTCATGACTTGAATCGACCACCCATTTTGATGCTAACACTGTTACAAAACCTTAGTCTTGTAACCTATTGCAGTGGCAAGCAACATCAATTCAATGGTTGATCTCGTCAAAGGATTAGAAAAGAAGAGAGCAAAGTGTGGAAGACAAGTCAAGTGATGAACTCTTTCCCACAACAATAGTCTATAAAACCGGCAGCATCCGCTGTCTTGAAACTGATGGATCATATTCTAGAATGAACATAACAGTTGGAAATTTTTTGATTGACTAACGTGTGGACAAAACACACAGAAATCATCCTCGGAGAAGACTTCTAAGTCAATGATGTCTGTCCAATTTGCTCTCAAAAACTATTTATTTTTTGTGAAGATCACCCCATGTTAGTATAGATGCATTTGCAATGTCACTATAATAGTATGAATTCCATTTCATAAACATAGATTAAATGTGAAATCTTTGTCAAATTTTTTTTATATACATACATGTCGATTTCATTAGTGTCCGGTCGATTCTAAAAAAAATCCGTAAGTTTAAATTTTTTTATATGATATTATAATTTTTAAAAAATTAGATATATTTTTTTAAAATAATCATCATACCCTTGTGAAGCATCGATCTTCGCTCGTTGATCACCCCCTTTGCCTTGTTAACCATCCTTTCCTAGTTGTTTATGTCTCCGCATAGAAGCTAATCTTATCGATCAATCCCTTCTTTCTCGTTGTCGCTTGCACCTTAATGTACAAACTAATGTTATTAATCATCCTCTCTATATAAGCATGAGTTAGTCTCGTTAGCTACTTTTGTCTTTGTACGTGTAATGCCTCTAAGATTCGATAAGAACGATTCGGGATGGATGATGTGGACTGATGATCATAAAAATAATGTAAGGATAAGGAGGCAATTGATCCATACAAGTTTTTCAAAATTGAAACGTTACATGAAAATTTTTAATTTTTTTTAATTTATCATATATATATATATATATTCACTTTTGGTTCACGTGGTCGAGGTGTAAGCGGCGGGCCAGCTGGGCGCGGACCGCTTCACCAAGAGACAGATACATCCCTCAGCCTCCCGCAACGCCCACCTGCCCTGTCACTGAGCAAATCGCATTGGGACCTGCAGGGGTCCACACTCTCGCCCAATAATAGGCATGGATATCAGTGGGTTTAATGTGTGATATTTTGGCTCCAAGTATCAGATCCAGGGAGGGAACACATCTGACAGCAAAACAGGTTTAACTCAATCATGATGATATGATCCGCCGTCGTCACGTTCGCTACGTGCAGCAACGCCGGTGGTGTGATCGAATCGCGTTTCACCATTTAGGGGTTGGTGTGGCCGCAGACACGAAAAGCGACTCGCGTCACACCACCTGCGTATCGAGCGGGACATTATCTCGGCGTGTGTTGTATCGTAACGTCAGTCGGCTCGTGAACTCTGGGGGATTCCGTATATTCCGTTGGAATTGACGGCGTCCCTCCGATTATGGACGCAGTAATCGCCCAGTAGATAAAATGGCGTGAATTGCCCAAACGACCAGTCCGCCTCTTCTCCTTCGCAGGGCGATAACGCGAAGAGAGGAATCGGGGAGGCGATTTCTAGGGTTCCTCCCCCCGGCATTGTTCCGGTACTTAGATAGATTCGTTTCCTGTAGTGATCTGGTGTCTGTGCTTCTGTGGTTCTTGATTAGGTCAGTGGAGGGGTGAGAGTACCCATATTGTTCGTTCTTTCGAGGAGACGAGACGTGCTTGTCATCTTGAGATTTCTACCCTTAAATTAGATTTTTTTGGGGGGCTAAAGTTCAGTTTTTAATACTGCAATATCTAATTTTACCTCTGTTTTGTGTTATCTTGTTGGTTTTCTTTGGAACTACGCTATGTGGATGTCTTCTCCTTGAGAGGGTGACAAGTTTTTCTGATACTATTCCGGGGCTTTTTTTTTTCTTTCTTTTTCTCTTGTTGGCTATATGACAAATGTTGTGTTAGAGAGACAGATCTATGCTGATGTGACCATGTCAACATTTAGTTGTTGTAGTTTGCTATCTACAAGTATTATAGATGGAGGCACTATAGATTTGAATATGCTATCTAGATCAGTAGGAACAATTGCATCCTCTTTTTTCTAATAAGGAACATGAAACACTTAAAGATAGTGGGTCATTTAGCATATAGCCTTCTAGAAAATTGTTTGCTTGTTACAAGGACCCGATGTAGGTTTTGGCTTGAAAATTTGTATGGCCTGATATTAGATTATGGTCTCGTACGCCATTGCTTCACATGAATTCGATCTTTCTGATTCCTTGGTATCTGCATTAACATCTTACTTGATACTTGCAAAGCAGACTACAGGACTTTTCTTCACATACCTAAATTATTGTGTCTCAACTTTGATTTCTCAACCACGGAAAGGGTATCTGTGTATTTTGTTGTGTCTTGTTGTTGGAGTGATGGTTATGACCAAAAAAATGGAGGATACATTGTTGTACAAATGAGTCTTTTGTAATCTCTGTTTTGTTAATCTATCATAGTTAAGCCTTACTAGCTTTTAATATGCACACAATGTAGAACAAGATGAAAGCCAGATTTTGAGTGAATGTTCATCATACTGCATGACTTTTCGCTATCATATTTCTTTCTTTTTAACATTTTGGTGTTTGCATGTATTCTTTCATCTCGATTTATTTCATATGATAATAACTTCTGACTATGTATTTCCAGCATAATCTAAAGCATCAAAATGGTTGCACAGGAGTTCACTGTCGACTTGAATAAGCCTCTCGTTTTTCAGGTGCGGTTCAGATATTTTCTTTTCTATGTATCTTTCGTATTTTATTTCATGTGAGGCATAAATGCTTCTTTGCTTCATCTGTTGTTAATCAATACATACTAAATAAGGTGAGAATATCTCCAGCATGAGTTAACCGGTAGAAATTTTTGTCATTGTTCGGTTTTTAATAGTAATAACTGGGTTGGTGAAGAACAACAACCTTGATAGCTGAGGTACGAGGCGTCAATGACTAGCAACTAGCAGCTATCATTTTATGCAGTCTCATCCAACGTAGATCTTGAAAAATTGAAATCTCTCTCTTCAGCTTTCTCTTCTCTTGATTGCCTGTCATCATTCTGTTTTCTGATTAAACATGTTTCTAAAGTGCATCCCATCAATTTATATTTACTGTTATTGAGTAATCTACACTATTAGTTGACAGTAACTGCTTATTGACCAAGCTCTTGCAAATGTTCTTAGGTGGGTCATCTCGGAGAAGCTTACCAAGAATGGGTTCACCAGCCTATAGTTAGCAAGGAAGGCCCACGATTTTTTGCAAATGACTTATTGGAGGTAACCTAATGACAGTACATTAGGCCAACATGGACAACTTGATTGGTCTATTTTATAATACGTGCTTTTGCATATATCAGTTCTTAACTCGAACAGTGTGGTGGGCGGTTCCAGTGATATGGCTGCCAGTTGTTGGTTGGTGTCTAACCAAGTCAATCCAAATGGGCAATACACCCCCTCAGTTAGCTCTGATGGTTGCGACTGGGATATTTCTGTGGACCTTGATCGAGTATACTTTGCATCGCTTCCTTTTCCACATCAAAACTGAGAGCTATTGGTAGGTAACCCTTTCAAGAATCTTTGTGCATTATTTCTTCAAATCAATTCAAATGAACTCCAGATGTTTGTTAACACATCTTTGGCAACCATGTTATAGGGGAAACACTGCGCATTACCTTCTTCATGGTTGCCATCACAAGCATCCCATGGATGGTTTGCGGCTAGTTTTCCCCCCTGCTGCCACAGCTATTTTATGTGTACCAGTAAGCTCCTAACAAACTCAAATCATCCTTTACTGTTATATTCATGGACATGGTATGTGCAACTTTCTCAGTTTGAAGCATGATGCCTATCCGATATTCTTTCTGATGCTTTTAGTCACTTACAGTAGAATGTAAAATCCGGAGGTTGTCATGGTCAATTTTCCTTCCAAAGTTACGAGAGAGGTATTGCTGCAGCTTCAGAAGCTAATACATTTCAATTTTTTCTAGTTCTGGAATGTGGTTAAGTTAATAGCCACTCCATCAACCACTCCTGCATTGTTCGGAGGTGGCCTGTTCGGTTATGTTATGTATGACTGCACTCACTACTACCTGCACCATGGACAACCATCCAAAGATCCAGCTAAAAATCTGAAGGTGAGCCTATGAGGATGAGAACAGTTAAAAGAGAAGTTACACCTGGAAGCTCCTTGATAGTTCTTTTTTTCTTTTGAAACTTGCATTTTGGTTCTGAAAAGGTTCTTGTCCATTCCAGCGGTACCATCTGAACCATCACTTCAGAATTCAAAACAAGGGGTTTGGAATAACTTCTTCACTCTGGGATATTGTCTTTGGCACATTGCCCCCAACAAGATCCTCTTCTCAAAGCGGTTGATACTTATGCATTGTGGAAAAAGAATATGTAAATTTGAGGTTAGATTCTACTACCTCATTTCTGATTAATGTTTGCATACATATCACTCTATCTTCACCATTTTTTAGCCACCTTGCCTTGTGATCCTACTACCTGCTTTGTAAATCTTTGTTGCAGATTTCCTTGGTATTCTAGTCTGCTGGTGGTTTTATTTGCTGCTTCTCCAAATGATCTTATCATGGATGTTCCTGTTCATTCCGAGAATAGTGACATCTATGCAATCGAGACTTGTGTGATCAATCCGTTCATCTATATTAAGTTTGCTTGTAGGTTCTCATGAGTCAACAGCTCAGTCATGTTTTAGATTGTCCTATTTATCATCTGTACAAAAGATCCATTGTAGTTTGAAACTTTCTATTAGCCATTCTATGAGTGGTTGATTCTCTGTGTGATCTTGGAGACAAGACCTTTTCAACCGTGATAGTGTTCTTGAATTGCTTCTATTAATCATCAGTGGTTACCTGGGATGTTTTTTTTGCCGGTATGATAATATGCAAATGTTCATATTTTATGCAATTGGATAAAGGAGTTTGGGAAGCCATTATGTTGGGCTTTCGAAGCACTACCCTTGATGATCCACATTGTAGCTTCAGCTTTTACTCAGATTGTAGTGGTGCTATGCTGACTTGGTTTTAGAATGTTTCTCTGGATTTCTGTATGCATGAAAATTGAAACTTTGCTGGACTGAGCTTGTTAAAAAGATAATTAGTTAGCTTGCTATTTTTGCTGGATTGAACTTTGGGAAGCCATTGCATGAAAAAGATAGATAACAATGAGGTACTTTTAGTAGCTTGCTATTTTTCCCTCTGTCTATTTCAAAGATTGAATTCTCCACCTTCTAAAACTTAGTTGGACCACAACCCACAAAGTGGATAGAGTGATGCACTGTCATCTATTAGAACAACCACCCGAATGAAATAAGAGAGAGAGAGAAACCTTAGGCAAAGTATCAATTTAGCAGGTTAACACTGTTCCAAGTCCTCTTATCTCTTACCTGAGAACTGTTGCATCTGGAAAATACTTGTTGCAGGCTCTCCAGTGTACAACAATATGGTGTTTATTGGCTCTGAGTTCAGATGAAAAAGATGGCTCGAAGAATCAGTTTAACACCACTCCTTGAGTCTCTCTGATGTCTGAAATATCAACAAAGGTTTCAGTAAAGATCTGACCTCTCCACCAGACCTTGTCAATCATAGACTGCTTCAGTACCAACTTGCTAATATGTTCTTGAGATCCAACCCCAACTTATTGACATGAGATTTATTTCATAGACATCACAGCTATGGTTCACCTGTCAAATTATTCCCTAGTTTGGAGCATATCTGTTGGGGTACCACAGGATGCAACTCTCCAAGGTGGTAGAGAAAGCTGGCCATGATTCGAAGAACAGTGCAGCTACAGCCTAATTCTATGGTCTAACACATGTGCCATCACCCACAGATTCCATTTGACCAATGGTTCCTTCACTCAGCATGAGCTTTTGCCACTTGTTTAAGATCTTAAGTGGTGCTTTACACTGACAGAGATTTGTGCCTCCCTGTTATTTTATTTTATTTACAGAGAAACAGAAGCAGCAGGACATGCTGACATATCCAGCAGGTATGACAATTTATGTCTTTAATAATAATATTCACATGCACAAGTGTTACATACTATCGATCATTAACGTACTAACGTGCAGAATATAAGTTTGAACTCCATATGCAAGGAGATGGGGAATAAATCAGCAAATGAAAGTAATCAAACAAAAGTTTCAACTATTCTTCGTGATATTTGAATCACTCCATTATTGTTATTGATCATCACCGTAATAACTACTCACGATGTCAACGTTTTGTCACGGAGAAAACTATAAATAAAATATTTAATATAATGCTCATGTATATCTGTTCATACTTTACATAACATGTAGAGGAACAGTCAAAGACTTAACAACCTCAATTTATATCGTATGGACAGAGAGATCAATATGTAGTGAACAATTTTGAATCTTTTTTTTGTGCAACTGTTTAGTCTGTTTGTAATTTGCATTGATTACAAAGTAATGATAAAAATTTTAATTTATAATTATATATTTTAATATAAAATTTTTAAATCTAAAAATTTACAGCGGTAATCTATAATGAGTCTGTCGCATGGCTTTGGTCCGAGTGCCCGACCCAACTCCCGAACGACACGTAAACAAGTAGAGTTGGGAAGCTGCTTCTTTAGCTATTCCAAACAGTCATGGTCGTTCTCCCGCAAGCTCAGCTCGCATCTACCTTCGTTGACGTCATGACCTATCAACGGCCCAATTGGCAGAGCCTGGGGAATTCGATCGTGTGCGAGGAGCCTCAGCAGCGGAGGATGTTCGCTGTGGTGATCAACCTCTTCTCCGGGGAAGGAATTGACCAGAACTCGAAGCCAGACCACAAATCTTAGTTTCTGGGAAGCATGACCCCCCACCAACCGCGGCAATTCCTTCGAGCTCAGCTTCGCTTGGCCTGCTAACATCAGCTCTCGTGCGACTTGCTCGCAGTGAGAGCGATGGTAGAGAGGATTGGCTATGATCGCGAGTGAGGAGAACCAAGCCAGTATTGAAGCTCGAGCTTTAAAGCATGGATCATGCAACTGCGAAGGAACATATCGTCCCGTATCAGTTCCGGGATCGCCGAGATGATGTGGTAGGTCGCCAGCATTGCCGGCCAGAACCTCACGACTGGGACGCCGCACCGGTATCGCCAACGACGCCAACAGGTCTCTTAATTACACTGAAAGAGTCGAGAGCTGTCTCTCCAAGTCACTGTAACATTGATGATGGAGAGAAGCGCAGCAACTAAGTCACAGATGAGCTTCTTTTCCTCTCTTCCCCACCATTAAAATGTGCCGAGCACTGTCAGTTTCAGACAGCATTCATTTCGGGAGAGTTTGTGGTCCTGCTGCAGTGAGAGCTAAGGCGTGTCAACCTGAAACCTGCTTCCCGTCACCGACAACCATGTACGCATGAATCTGTCACTTTGGGAGGTCTTAAAGTGCAAATTTGCATGCATTTTATTTTGATTTCAATGTATGTTTCGATGCTACAATTAGTATGGTAGAATAAATCTTAAAACAAAATTCATACAAACTCAAGTATTGTCGAGAATGATAGTGCTCGATGATCTTCGACCGTCACGCTGTAGCAAACCCCCTAAGATCACCCTCTTCTTGTACTCATCAGAGTCCATATCAACCTCTCTCGATGCGATCTCATCATGAGCTGCTGCTGGTCTCGTCGACATCACCCTCGAGAGATGCAATATGAACAAGGAACAACACAAGTAGACGACGGCGGCGGCTCGGCCGGAGAAGACCAAGACGGCCAATATAACCACCATGACCCCTACGCCGACAAATGGCTCAAGCGCGGCGGCGGCTCGAGCCGAGTCATCGGAGGAGGTACCGGGAATGTGCTCGGCTGTCACGGGTTCGTTGCCTTTGGACTTGGTTCGGGTCGAACGCGGAATTGGTGCTCTACGAGCATTGTATTTGGGCGAGATACTGGGAAGACTTGTGTGCTGAGAACGGGGATTTGTGTGACGCCTCAAAGCTTGTTCTTGTTGTTGCTCGATGCTGTCTCTTCGATCCTGTGACAATAATAATAACCATTACGGTCATAATTAATTGACTTTGATTTAATGATATAATGTACATAATGTACGCTATGGTATCTCCATGTCGTATTCGAAACCATAGAGATCACTTGTTGGCGTGTCGGTATAAATACGAGCCCAATGGACGGCTGTGATGTCGAGGATTAGGTGGGCCCAAAGACATCAGACGCCCTTCGCTCGATGGCGTTGACCCTATCAGGTGGGCCCCACCCCGCCGTTTGTTTAGCGTATAAGACCACGTAGCCGCCGCTATGGGACGTCGGCTGGGCCCCGCAGAAGCTTCCGCCCGACGTAGAAGACCTTCCGACCCTAAATAAGAACACCCATCCCGTATCCGACCGCAGCGAAACCCGGGGCGAGTGCGCCGAGAGTCGTGCGCGGGCTGATGCTCTCTCCCGGGCGCTTGCGCGTCGGGGCTTCAAACCCACGTGCCTCGCATGCGCAGACCCCACGTCACTGATTGGATCATATCTAGAAGGGGCCCATCGCCGGAGGACACCGGCCGACAAGCGAACCAGCGGCCGTCGAAACAGGAAGAAGAGGAAGACGAGAGAGTCGCGAGTTTGTGGATATCGCTGACCTTGGCAGAAGACTTCTTGGATAGGCTGTCTTTGGCCGCAGTAGTCACCTTAGCGTCGGCCGCGGCTCTGGCAGAAGCGTCGAGCTGGGCGGTCTCCGTCATCTCCTCCTCCTTCCGAAGCCTGCAACGTGAGTACCACGCCGAGTGCCTGCGCCCGGACCGGGCGTCGGCGGGCGGCCGCTGCGACGCGTCGGAGTCGGAGACGGGAGAGCCGAGGAAGCAGGGGATGCAGGAGGAGAATCTCCTCTTGCGTTGCACTCCTGTGGGGTTCTGCTTCTCAAAGTACATAGCGGCAATTAGAGCCGGGGAAGAACTACTGCAGGGAGGAAACAGGCGTTTAGTTTTAGCTGGAGAAGACCCCAAACTTAAGCTTTTGTTTGACGAGTTCCTCCACGCTGGAATAATCGCAGAGGAGGAGAACGGTTTCCCAGTCAATCACAGCGACTCGAACACTGTTCCTACAAGACCCTTTCCTTCTGATTCGTTATAGTCATTTAGTTTGATGAACACAGGACAAGCATGTGTTACACGTCGAGAGATGAAAACTAGTTCATAAGCTATCACCAATCTGATCTTTTCTTCAAGGAGAGATGAAGAAGAGAATGCACTGCTAGTCTTACGATGGTCAACAAGGAGATTCCCCAAGTCTGCGCGATCTTCATAATATCAAAACGCTTCCCACACCAATGTTATCAAAATAACGATCTGGGCCGTAAGATCTCACCTGGACCGTAGGATCGTGAGATCTTACGGCCCAGATTAAGCCTAGCGCCTCTGAAACGTAAATTTAGTGGACTCGGGTTCAGTCGCGAGTCGACTTGGTACAATCGGTCGACTCGTCCGAGTCGAGTTTATCGAGTCGACTCAATGCGTTGCTAGGAGAGAAAAGGAGAAAGTAGAGGAAAGCGAAGCGGAAGAGGCGTGCGTCGGAAGCCAAGACGCGAGCGACGAGCGAGCCCTAGCTTTTTCTCTGCCGCTGCCAACATCGCCGGCCAAGCCGCTGCTGCAAGGCGCCACCTCCCGCTGCCGTTGTCGCAGGCCAAGCCGTTGGTATAGTTCTCTCCAAGCTCTTCTCCTGCCCCTCTCTCTCTCTTCTCCTCCCGTCTTCTCCCTCTCTTTCCCTCTCTTCTCCTCCGATCTCCTACCCTCTCCTGTTCTCTCCTCTCCTCTCCTCTCCTCTTCCCCTCTCTCTTATTCCTCGCTTATCTCTTATCCCGTCTCTCGTCTGTTCTCCTCCCATCTCCTATCCTGATTTATCCTCTCCTCACCTCCCCTCTGTTCTCCTCCTGCCTCGTCCCCTTCTTATCCTCTGTATCCTCCCTTCTCATGTGATCTCCTCTCTTCTGACCCTGATTTATGGCCCTCTTTACGATCGTAAGTAGAAAACCAAGTTTAACAACCATGTTCCACACGTCTCACATACTGCTACCCCCCATTGAAGTCTGCATGAGAATGAGTCTTCCATGTCTCCTACGAAACTAGTTCATGGAATGGTTTCTGGTATGTTAGTCATGGGTGAAGGTTTGCCATGGGTGAAGGCAAAACCGATTCTTGGTATGTTAGTCGTCAAAGAAGGAACCAGATGCTGGCTCAGCAGCAAAATTTGAGCTTCTGGGACTCATCTCTAGCCAATTAACATGACGAGTTGGTGATCATCAACTTCCTCTATTTCCTTTTTAGACATCCATCTTAATCCACAGACCACCTCACCTAATTTCCTGCGGAATCTTTGACTGTGGATAGAATGATGCTTGTCAATGCAACTGTGCAAAACAGGGCATAAAACAGTCTCCCATATTAATTTGGTGTCCACTTAATATACCAGTCTTTTGTTTTCTAACAATATACACCATCTTTTTTCACATGTTTCCAATGTTTTTGTGGTTGCTGAATGCGAAGAGGAATCTCTCTATGCCACTGTAGCTATGGCAGTAGTTGACATCCTGCTTCCAACCAAATGGACAGCTTCTTTAGATCCACAACCCACTGATTCGACCTCCTATAATCATATAATCTCTTTTGCGTTCCTCTTAGCACAAACTTGCAGTTCATCCGAGCTAAAAGATCTATAATTTCATCAATCAGGCCATGGGCACATTCACTGTCCACAAATCTCCCGTTGACCAGATGGATTCTCTCTGAAATCCAAACAGGAAGATACCAGCTTTTTTTAGGTGATGCTGACATCCCAAGTTATTGGTTTCCAAGACATCAATCAAAGAACATTATGTAAAACATGATCCCTCAGTTCTGATTTCTTTTACCAATAGGCAATACAAGAAGAGATCAAGAACAAGTGTAGCCTTATTAGATTCGTCATGTTATTCTTTTCTTTAACCTGTGACTTCAGCTCGGTTTTAACTCAAAGACTTCAGAAGAACAAAGTTCTTAATAATATCGTCATCATCAGCTACAAGAAGAGGGGAAGAAATTAATGTTGCCAGTTAATTTGATCTGTTCAATTCTGCTGCTGCCCATGAATTGATAGCCAGAGGTTTCTAATGTATATGTTGTCGCATGCAAAGAAATCAACAGTTTGTCATATAATACATTCGAAGCAATGTATTACTTCAACGGCAAGTAGATGGTCTAAACACTGAACTTTATAGAAGATTTTTTGATTGAAAACTTCATCAACTCTATTAGATCTCTCACTGCCTTCATCTCTATTTGCTGCTATTGCACGGCAGTGGTATTTTATAGAGAAGACAAATAACAAACGAGAATAGGAGGTATTAGAACTCTTACCTTGTTCATCATTATCCCTTTTAATCTGTTAATATGTAAAACTAATAAATCACCATGGACTAACCTAGGCCTCTATTTTAATTCAACAACTACTAGTGATTGTTTGATTTACCATGTGAAAGGGATTCAATGTTTCTTGATTATGGTGTTGAGCATGATCTTCTTAGTTTACCTTCACATAAACATATGAACTTCATCAATCTAGATGTAGATCATACATGTTAGGTATGTTACCATACTGATATTGGGGCTCATGTTTGCTTCTTGCTATTTTAAGCTCTATCAGTATGCATTGTCTAAAACATTCAAATTTCTGTTAATTGACACTGTATGACCAAGGTACTTTAACAGTAAGTAAATTACAAAATCACTGGATGTGCTTTATAAATAATTTTCAATTGACTTTGAATCTAAAACAGGTTTGAGATGTACTTTTGTATGATGATTCATGATCATTTCTTAGAGAACTAGATATCATGTTTTACATTTTACAGATTTAATCGACCATGGCATCTGAAGAGTTAGACAGAAACTTTTCAGAGCTACATGTTACAAGAGATTCTGATTGCAATGGGAAGAGCAAGATATTAGAGAACCAAGCAGTGGATGGTGATTTTCAGATAACTTGTTTTACAGAGGATCTGCATGATGTGACACTTCATTTTCAGATCATAAGACTTGCAAAACAGGTTATTAGCTTGCTAGAAGATCATGTATATATTGCTTTAATTTGCTTCCATCCTGATGTAGTTTCTCTTGCTCTGGTGTTATATTGTGATCTTGTTTTTTGTTGCCATTGTCTTGTTCAACTTGTCATAGTTTCTCAGGCTTTTGATTTAGCCTTATTGCTTGTGGAGCCTCTACATATTCTATTTGGTCCATACTTATTTTTTTATTATTATTTTGTAACACGAATTTATCAACCTTAGCTTCAGGTTGTTATGTTTATTTCTGTGAAGTCTGTTGTTATTGAATATCTATGCTTATTTTGGTGCATTACAAATAATTCAAGATCTTGTTTGCTTTGTGTGTGCTCAGGAAAAAGGCTAGTTGTTCTACCAACATCATACTATAAATTGCTTATAGTTCAATATTTTTTGCCAAGCGGTAGGTTACTATAAGTGGTAGGCTCAAAAGTTGGCAATTGGTGCATTAGACTTGCACCAATTCAGGGTATATCCAGCCTTAACTCTATAATTTCTTTTAAAATTTGGAATATATTTTCATTATATTATATGGCATACATGACGCTCATACAAGGACTCGGACCTGAGACCTATCACTTGTGCAGCAATAAATAGAAATACTATTTACATAGGTTGAAACATTAACAACCATATTCTAAACAGCAAGTTTGTCATGGCATCAGGGCTCATCCTTCTTTATTTGCTTGTGAAAAATTGCACATAGTAGGGATAAGAACCTTTTACAGTAAAGAAGTAAAAATATTTTTTTTTTCTTTATGTTAGTGGCAGAAGTTGAAGTATTGTACATGTCCTTGCCATAAGCTTTATTGTTTAACTTGAGGAACATTATCATAAAGTGTTGCAGCCTTTTAGTTCCTCTCTCATATTAGGTGGTCAAATATATTAGACTGTTCTTGAAACAAGAATACAAACATTGAAGTAATGTTTTAACTGTGAGAACTTTTATTTTATAACCTTCATGAAGATATGATGGTGGGATTGTGTTGTACTTGGAAACAAATTATTCATTACCACAGCACCATCCTTCATGCAAACACAAGTGGTATAAGAATCGTGATTTTCTTTTGAGTGTTTGGCAAGCCACTAGCCATTTACAGCAATGGATGAAAAAATAACCTTTTGTTTATCTTGATTCTCTAGTTTTGACGGTCTATCTTAGATCGAGGGCTAGATGCTGGGTGCATCAAGTCAGAGGAACAAAATAGGGAAAAATTATTAAGGTTTATTAGTTGGTTAAATTGTTGCAACATGATGCTAATATCCTTGATTCCCACATTCACTTTACTGGCCAATCTCAATTTCATCTTCTGTTCATGATTGTTGTTCATGCTGCTCCCTTAAGAGTGGAGAATTACTAGTAGAGACAATCAACTATTATATCCTTCAATTTTTTATCTTGACCACTCATTGTCAATAGTCTCATATATTTATTGTGTGTCTCGTAGCTACAGCCGGGAAAGCATGCATGTAGATGTATCTGTGCATACTTATATGTATACATATGGTGTGTATTTTGTGCATATAAATACATGTATTCATATATGTGCATTAAGATGAGGAACTTGGACATGAAAATGTGCTGTGTCATGTGCCTTAATGCAATTGAACTCTGACTTAATGATTAAACGCAAAGCATTTATGGTTTTAACTGCATTGTCTCCTCTGTGGTGAGGAATAGTTGATTCCACTTGTATGTGCTTATTGTTAAATCTTTTTCACTACCTTTACTGATTCTGGAAAAAGTGATTGTATTAAGATATCCAATCTTCCAGCATCGAGCTATAAACATGGATCTTGTTGGGATGTCGCAACTAGTTGTGTTAATATAGTTGCATTGAATATCAGGTGGATCTTAACGTGAAATAACTAATGTGCAACTAAGATAAGCTTGAAGATGCTATGCATAAGATTAAAAGTTGTGCGAGACAAGAGCTGTTGGCACCCTTAGTCTCCATAGGACATTGGTATTATACGTAACACTAGCATTGAAACTGAAAATGAAGAAAATCATCTAATCCAATCGGAGACTGTGATGAAACCAAAAGCACTTTCTTTTGATAATCTCTGGGCCCTTTTTTGTGTTCTCCAGTCTCCACTCTTCCTCTGTGGTGATGTGAAGCAGTGAGATCAGCATCTCAAGGCACGGCGAGCAGAAACCCTACACTAGTCCTTTTGAAACTTGATGAGATCACATTCAAAGCTCCCAAGCCAAATATAGTCCAATAAAAATTTGGTATTATTAGCTAATTGGAAATTAAGATTCATATAGAGCTAAACACATATGGCCGTATTCTTACTCGGGAAGATTTTGAGTAGCAAGATTTAGGAACCAATACAGACATGTGATGGGGCACAGAATTACCCAAACATATCGGACACACATGGTTACAGAACCAGATTTAGACAGATGAAATCTATGCCATTTTATCCTTGCTGCTGATAGATTGGACATTCTCTTCTGTTGGAACTTATATATACTTTATGAACTTGACATGCTTGTGACATTACCATTCCACTTTCTTATGTGATTGTTACTGCTTTGTTCAAACTTTTTTGGAACTTATATATACTTTATGAACTTGACATGCTTATGACATTACCATTCCACTTTCTTATGTGATTGTTACTGCTTTGTTCACACTTTTTTTGTCTTTTAGTGATATTTCTTGGTGCTATATTGTTGATCCAGATATTTGTATGGATTGGATGCAATACTGCTAAGTTTGGTCACCTGTATGCTGCTGCAATCACTAGACCGGTATTGAACTTCAAATCCTTGCTGATGTAATGAGGCTCTATCATATTTGATGCTTAATTATCCTCGATGATCTTCTGTAGAATGATCAAGTTGCTGTTACTTCAATACTAGGAGGCACTTCTGACAATACTGGATCAGGCATTGCTCGTCGATTAGGTAACTGCCGTGTATTTCTGTTTCTTGTGCTCTTCCTTCAACTGGCCAGTTTGCTCACTGACTTCTTTCAGTTCTGAAGACTGGCCTTAATATCATTGTGGCATGCAATATACCCAAAGACAGCCCCATGCTTGAGGTATACAGATGCTTATCATAATTTATATACCAACAATTAGCTCAACTTTTTCTCCAGACAATTCATGTGTAGGATTAATTCCCATGTGAATGCATACTGGTCTAAAAGTTTGATATCATGTGCTCCATCCAGAACTTTACTGATATTTTGCCTTGGGACTTCGTTTCAGGCAACTGCGGAGAGAAAACTGGCCGAAAAATTGAGGAGTTTGGGTTATATCAGACCGAAGCCTGGAGGGATGTCCCTGGATTAAGCGGAATACTGATGCATTAAAGGTATCACCACCATATAAGAATCTTGATTTCAACTGTGCTCGTCTCTTGGATTATGCCATGAGAAATATGAACCTGCAGAGAACACCGAGGAATTAATTGTTCCTTTTTTTTTTTGTTTTTGAAGGAAGATAGTTTGATCGATAAATAAGCATTCTTCTTGAACTAGCGTAAATATGGCCTGTGGTTTCGAAGCTCCAATTCTTCATCAGATAAGGAAAAAAGAAATGCCTTTCCGTGTAAGAATCAATGATAATTTTGTGAATCGCGCAGCCAACTGTTTATGCCTTGGTAGTTACAAGCTGGACTCGATTCCTCACTTTTGATTCATGTGGCAACCTCACTCGTTCACCAACCGAGAATCGTGTGCTTTCTAGTAGGTATTCTTACTGAACTTGCGTGCACTGTAATGCTTTTCATCACACTCATGTTGCACTTTTCCATAATTTGTTGTGGTTTTTTGGCAAGCATGATGGGGTCACATGGATGATCAGCAATTTGATGGGAAATGACATGATGATGAGAAAATTGGTTCATGACCCAGCAATACTAATATTTTTTCTGATAATATTGTAATGGACTTGGGACTTTCCAACTCCATAATCCCTAATGCAAATCAATTCCAAGGGTTTCCTTCAAAGGGTGAGAACTCTAGCTATGCTATTGATGGTATTAAATTTAGAGCCAAAGATAAGATCAATTATTTGATAGATAGTATTGGAAAATGGGATAATAACAACAATAACGTTATCATTAGGATTAAAAGCACTTTGCTTCCATCTATTCATATATTTTTCTATTGTTTTAATCGACAAAATATTCAAAGTTCTCATATTGCATGCCACACGATAAGGAGTTTTATATGATAAAAATTCAAATTCTTTTTAAATCCATAGTATCCCACCGAGTCTTAGCATCGGATGTTACACATTATCGGATTTGGATTCTGAATCCATACCACTTCCGTCGATAAGATTAATGGATTCAAGATAAAGATTCGTATAAAAATTTCGGATCGGGTCGATATTGGATATCAGGTCATCCGACTCCATCGACAGCCCCGGATCCGAAAAGAGTGGTCTTTGCGCCTACATGTGTTCCCAGTCGGCGAGCCGGGGTGGAGGTTTCAACCGAGTCTTGGGTTCGGGAGAGGGCGGTGCTCCGCTTGGCCGCTCGAAATGGCTTTCCTCTTCCAAAAGTTTCAAGAGGTGTGGACTCTCCCCCATGTCATCTTTCTTTCCGTTTCGCCTCTGATGATCTAGGGTTTTTTGCTTCTTTTTTTTGGTGCTTTCTTGCTAAGAGAGATCTTGTATTATGTTGTCGAGATTCATCTCGTTGAGGTTCGTTAGGAGTGGGAGGTTGTCGCCCTGCAAGAAAGTTCGAATCTCGGAGGGTCGAAATCATTTTAGATCTTGTATTTTGTGAAATTATCTACAATGCCGAGGATGTCGTTGGGTCAACGAGATAGTGTGGGACAATTTCGAAGAATGTAAGAAAGAACACGAATTTGATGCCTTTATTCGTTAAATAATATAAAAGCAAAATGATAGATGTGAAAATGTCTGTGTTCCTGAAATTTACATCTTTTGTGTCCGTTTGGAGTGGGAAGTCGTTGTTCTACAGGAAAATCTGAATCTTGGAGGTGTCAGATCATTTTTTTGATGTAGAAAATTGGGGCATGGGTAGTCATGGGTTTTTTTTTGCCTTAATTTTGCACTTTGTGCTGAAGTTAATGTCATCCACATCCCCAAGGCATATATATTAGGGATTTTCAGCAACGATGTAGTTAGGGTAAGAGGTTAGTCCGGTGAAAGAATGTAAGAAAGAAGATAGCTTTTTTGTCTTTATTCATTACATCATAGAGCAAAACGAAGGATGTAAAATGTCTATGTAGCCCTTGTTTCTTAATGCTTGACAAAAAAGGGTTTGTTGTTATGGTTATGATATGACGATGCTGGAAAATGGCTCAAAATGCATAATGATCAGCATTGGTGGGGCTGATGAGGATAGAGGTGACCTCTAGCTTATGAGGGGGAGATGTGAAGGCATTATGGTTAAAACAAAATAAAAGACACCCTTATGCCAATTACCATATTTTAAATTGACTTTCTGCATCATGAACTAATCTCTATGCCAGGCATAGCATGTTCCATGTCTAGCAAAATTTATGAAATTTTGGCTGGTTCACATACCTGTGTATAAATTTTGTAATGGCATCATTATCAATTGTTGGACAACAAATTGATTTTCTTGTCATATAAAGAGGCCTATTGATTTGACTGTTTCACTTGCTTTTTCTGACATATAACTTTTTTTTGGATAGATTTATCATAAATAAATGGAGAACATATCAATCTTACCTGCATATAAAGAGGCTAACAAGCCTAAAATCTACTAGTCGTTATGGCTTGTTCAGATGAGGGGAAGCTATCTCCAACCTGGAAAGAACTTACACAAGTTTCTCATAACCGAATCCCAATATCTTATCGATCCATCGAGCCACCGGCATTATCATTGGCTGTTGTTGGTTTTGTTGTTGTTCATCTTCTAGAAAGAAATGATTATACATGAGTAGTTGTGTGTGAGTGAAGCAATGAAATAAAGTATGGTTACTAATGGCCTTAGATGAAAAGCATATATCTACTGTGAAATACTTCATCGACCTTCTTCCTTGAGATACCCGTAGCAATTAGTCATTGACTAAGCTCTGATAATTTTTTTCCTTGGGAAGTACTGAAATTTTTAGCCCATATAGAAATAAGTCTAATAGATTTAAGCTCTCATATGGTCTTAGTTTATGCTTATTCTGATTCAAATAATTATTAGCTATAATTCCAGGCTGTCAAAGCACTTGCAAAGAATCGAATGTTTGCTCGAGATCCAAGACATCTTCAGTTCGAAGCTGACATAAACCGCCTGTTTCTTTATACCAGGTCAGTGCAATTCTTGCATCCAAGATTGTATTTCATTTCATGCTAACTGTAAATTCTCAAGTATCTCACCATTATGTGAATCAAACAACAGTGGTGTGATCTAACCATATCTAAATTAGTTCAGTAAGAAGTCGTTATTATTGTTGCTCGAAAGTTTTCCCCATGTTTTATATTGTTAAATAATCATCAGTAACTCACTGGATAAGCTTGCTAGGCTTGGATTGTTAGCATTCATGTGTGTTTTTTTTTTCCGTTTTCAAATCTTGCGCTATCTGACATTACTATTTAAATGTAGCTTATGCTTTGTAATTCTCCGTGCTTACTAATAATAGATATTTTGAAGCATTAGTTGCATTGACTAAAGATGAATAAAAATTTAAGACAATGTTTAATTTAAAGTTGAGTAAATAAATGATACTAATAATCTGATATTGGATGTTTCCATATAATAATCTTTCGAATGTTGCAATGGAATATATCTAATATGTTTTATAAAATAATTAATGGAACTACTCTCTCCTAAGATATTTTTATGTGCTTTGTTAAGGGTGATTGACACTATACTGGTGATGTCTGTTAAGAGTTTCCTTGTATGCTTGCATATGCGAGTGATTTTTTTGGGCTTGTTAGATCCATCTTGATGATGAAGTTAAACTCTTATGGGCTATATACTGATTTGCCTCAGAATTTTAACACTTAGAGAACTATTTAAGTACATAATGAAGTCTCACCTAAATGACCATCTTCAAACTGTAATTTTGCTTGTTCTTTGTTCTTTAGAACATTAGTTTATTTGATAAGTTACTGGATATCTTTTCATTCCTCAAGATGCTCATCATTCAAACCTTTCTGCCTCTGTTTTATTCATACTTACTGCATCTGATATCATTGCTTATGCTAAATCCAGTTACAATCGTTTGGGAAATAGTGCTGAAGAGAATGATGCCGACGAGATCATCGAGATGGCAAACAAAGCCTCTGTTAAAGATCAGCAGAAACAAGTCCAAGAAAACATTCATTTTCAAATAAAAAACATGTGTAAGATCATGGATGAAATTCTTCGTGTTGACAATAAAAACATCCCTGATCCACCTAGTTCAATTCCATGCTCCCAGAATGGTCCTCGACGACGAAGTGGGTTGAGTTTTGCCATTGGCAAAGGAACTCCATCTGCCAATGAGCCTGGTGAGTGGCTCTACTGCATATACAATGCACTTAATTTCCCTTAGATCTTGTTTTAAGGATTGCTTATGTCAGTGATGCATTTGAAGTTGGCTTTTGAATGAAAAGATAGGCACGTGAAATCTAAATTGCTGAAATCTGAATCATGAAATATTTTCTGGATTGTTCCCTTTGTTGTTTAAGCTCTATGACTATGTTTCTGCTCCTGTTTCCACTGTATATGTGATGCTCGCCTGCAAATATAACAAATAATACTAGTTTTTTTAGTACCATAGTACCATGTAGATATTAACGCAAAGTGTCTTACTTTTTATAGATTTTGATAACTCGGTTTTCATCATTTGTGGATGGATTGTATTATTTCTATATCATTTTCAACAATTATATGTATTAAAAGCTAGTGACAGAGACAATATAAAATAATTTGTGATGTGAACACGTTTAGAGTTAGCTTCAGAATTCTTCCCAACTCACTGGGCCTTCTGATCTCTTTAAAATTTTACATGTATCAATTTGAAAGTGTTGCATATTTTATTCAAGGTCCTGTTTTGGGTCCTTTGATGACTAGTGAATATGACATTTAACAAGAATACTGGTAGGACAGTCACATTGTGGATCATGTGCACCAACTTTGTACTTTAGTTTCATTGCAAGACTGTGTGCCAGCGATGATGTTTACGATTGCACATCATGAATAGCACTGTAGCATTATGTAGAAAGAAAAATCGAAATACAAAAGTATTCATATGGCTGCTTTACTAGTTAATATTGGTATCTATCTTTAACCTACATAAACCTGCATATATAATATGGAAAATTTTCATTACATTGAAAGAACATCATTGCATCATAGATCAAACAATTAGTTCATATTGTACTATCAGACCTACATTTGGGTCATAACATCACCATGACAGGCTAACCTCAATTATGTTGCAGCACAGTTGTACCTACAACGCAGCCTTTGACATGTTCGGAGTTGTCACAGTGTCTGATGGATCGCCTTGGCTATGCTCCTGATATCAAGCCATCACAAATTCCTCATGAGGAAGCTGGCCAAGGTTTGTTCCTAAATGGAGAGGCTGATGTCGGAGCCATCATAGCATTTTATCCAGGGATGATCTATTCGCCAGCTTACTATCGGTATATTCCGGGGTATCCCAGGGTTGATGCTTCCAACTCCTATCTTATCACAAGGTATGATGGAAATGTTATTAATGCACAACCTTGGGGTACTGGTGGTGAAACCCGAGAATTATGGGATGGTTTTTACCACCCACAGTACAACCCAGATACTTCTGAAGAAACTGGCAGAGGATCCGACCGGATGTGGAGAATGCTTAGCAAGCCTTTGGAGGCCAGTAACAGAGGAACCATTGGGGAAGTACTTGAGAGGCGCAACCCCCTAGCTTTTGGCCATTTTGCCAACCATCCACCTAAAGGGATAGCCCCTAATGTCATGGTTTGCCCATATGATTTCCCGTTGACTGAGAAAGATATGAGAGTTTACATTCCCAACCTTATTTATGGAGATGAAGAAAGTATCACAATGAGGAGGTTTGGCACATTTTGGTTCAGATTAGGTAGTTCTGTTGATCCTGATGGAGATTCTCCGGTGCTAAAGACACTCGTACTTGTTGCAACAAGGGCTTTGTGCAACGAGGAAGTGTTCTTGAACTACAGGCTGAGTAATCAGAAGAGACGCCCGGCATGGTATACTCCAGTTGATGAAGAAGAAGATAAACGGAGATGGAGCTAGTAATGGGGTATTTAGTCTCTTGTTGCTGACATTTCGTTTGCATTATACGGTTGGTCCAGTTGCTGCTGTTACTTGGCAAACATTGCAGTGAGGTCATTACGAATCTTAATTGTTGGCTTTACTCTCTTCTCACATGTAAGTGAAGTGCTCAAACTTACCTGCAGTAAGATATGATTTTCTGCAGTTGCATGTTCAAGATGAGAGCTGTACTGATAAGCTCTTGACATATTTATCCTCATAATGATGAACAAATTTTGTTTGGTGAAATCCAAGCCACTTGTTGTGTCATCATTTTTTTCACTGATGGCAGTGATAGTAATGGATATTTTTGAACTATGGTTGAGGTATGCCTTATCTAGTAGCAGCGGCTTTGCTAGACCTCTTTTTTCAGATGTTCTTAGACGTTCGATAGCAGAAACATTCATGTATCTTGTTAATTTTGTTATGATTTGGAAATCTTCCACTCTTTCAAACCTGCTAATAGCTATATTTCTTGCATGTGTAGAAGCATTCCATATATGTTATCCCTATGGAATCAGTGTTTTGGTTTGGCAAGAAACTAGCCTCTATCATCTGTAACAGGATGGAAGTTTGTTGCTTTCTCATTGTACACAATAAATGATTGGTTACTATTCCAAGACTGTAAATGCTGATGGCGTTGTTTCTGTTTATGCTATTCTCAAGAATCTGAATGAAAGCCTATAATCATGAAATATCTTTGGGGTTTGTTTGATATTTCTCTACACATGCAAAATACATTGTTGGTGAGTTGATATAACCTTGATGGGATGTACCCTTTCCTGCTTCAGAATTCAGGTGATTTGTGTCTCAATTAAGACCTAAAGCTGGAAGGAGGAAGAACTCATGTTTCAGTGGCAAGAGCAAGGAAATCAATCATTCACAGGCCATCTTTTCTTCAATGTGAGTACTACTTTACTAAAGCTTGTAGCACAAGTAAATTCTATTTGCTTCTGCTTTGGTTACTTGACCGGGATGCAGTGCTCCATTTGACCACAGTGGCACACGTAATAGACGGGAGGATGAAGAAGCATGCTGGTGAAGCTACCAAATGCTGGCAAGTATTATTATAGTATAGGGTAGCTTATACTCTATATATCAACAATGTAGTCATGCATCACGCAAGGTAGAAAGTAGATATCATTTTGCTTTAATTTGGTTAATCACGAACTCAACATGTGACTAATGTTTTTTAGTTGGCCCATTTGTTGGTAAGTTGGTTAGGACGAGTAATGTGAGGAGAGTACGTTGTTGTCTTATCGTTTGTGAATTTACTGACTTGTTTTATAGCTTTGGTAATAAGGTCTACGAGCTTTTATTTTTATTTTTTAAAAAATATGTCATTCTGTCTTATCGTTTGTGAATTTACGACTTGTTTTCTAGCTTTGGTAATAAGGTCTACGAGTTTTATTTTTTATAAAAAAAATCATGGCATTCTGTTTTATCGTTTATGAATTTACGACTTGTATTTTAGCTTTGGTAATAAGCTCTACGAGTTTTTATTTTTTAAAATAAAAATTTGTAAATTATTCGATCTGATAAGAATATTCTTGAGACAAATTTATGGCAGATAGCCCGGTATTCAGCATATAATGATGAACTTTGGAGTATGGTGAATAATAGCACATCCAACTGCGACTCTCACTAAATTATGGATTAAATAATTAGTTGTTCGAAGATGTGTTTGCAGCAAACGATTCATTATAATCTATGATAACATCATAGGGAATAGTTGAATTATTAATTTTGCTTATTTTCTCCATAATATTGATATTTTACCTATCGTATGCCTTTTTTTATTAATGATTTTTTTTCCTTTGCAAGTTTGCTGTAATACGCTTATACTTTATGGACGAATACAATTAGGCGCCACAGGATTCATTATAGATTATCCTCTAGTTTACTATCTTTAGTATTTTGGTCCTTATATTTTAGAAAGTTATATTAGTATCCTTATAACCATGAAAGTGAAACATGTAGGATCAAGAAAGTAATTTTTAATGTTTGATGGCGGATGGCGATACTATTGGCGATGATGTCAACGTAGTTGTCAAGCCATCTCCAATGACGATAAGGTTTGCTCTCATCGTGACGTCACCCGCTTCCATGAGAAGTACGTCGTTGACCTCATCGTCACCCGCCTTGCGTTGCTCTGCATCTGCATCGATGCTTAGTGGTCGTTGAGCAACAATTGTGTCGGCATCGACGTAGATGGTAGTGATCGTCACAACGTCTACAATGAAAAGTGGCCACCTTACCATTAACCAGTTGGGTGGGATTCCAACCTCGATCGAAAGCTGGGGTTAGTGGAGATCCTGTCGCTCCCCTCGTTGTCACGTTAGTTTTGACACCACTTTTCGTCTAGCAACCCTTTCATCACTCTATATCTGGGTCAGTGTTAATACAATTGCTAAGGGGCGAAAGAGTCACTTGACATCAGCATCAGCATCGACATAGATGCAGTGCAGCACCGATAGGTGGAGGGACTCAAGGACGGTAGGGTGGAGGACAAGTGACAGATACAGAGGCGAGAGTGCCACCCACGTCATTGATGGCGAAGATAAGGCGACAATGACCGCAATGGATGAGGCAGAAGCGCCATCGAAGGTAGAGGTAAAGGAAGACAAGGAGGACGGTGGCGAAGAGGATGACAGTGGAGGTGAACATAACCTCTACCTTCGCTAGCGCTTTCACCTCATCCATTGCAGCTATCATTGCCTCGTCTTTGCTATCAATGGCGTGGGCGACACCCTCGCCTCCACATCTGCCACCTTTCGTGGCCTCCACCCTACTGTCCTCAAATCCCTCCACCTATTGGTGCTGATAAAGATGCAAAGCGACGAAAGGGCCACTCGACGAGAGGTGGTGCTGGAACTGATGTTAGAGTGACACAAGCTCCGACGACCTCAGCTTTAAGTCAAGGTTAGAATCCACCAAACGGGTCAGCATCGAGATGGCCACCATCTTCGTCGTAGACGTCACGATGACAACCATCATCGATGTCGACACATTTACCGCTTGATAACTATGTCGGCTTCAACGCAGATGAAGAACAGCACGAGATGAGTGGAGATGAGGCTGGCAAGACACTCCTTGTGGAGGTGGGTGGCATCATGAGGAGAGTAGACCTTATCATCATCAAAGACGATCAGACAACTGCATTAGTGTCGACGCCAACAACATTATCGTTCACCACCAAATGTTAAAATTATATTTTTACTTTTTATTTTTATGTTTTCGTTGGTAAAACTAATATCGTTAAGATAAATATACCTAGATATTTCATTTTCATAACTATAGAAATATCAATGTAACTTTTTAAAGCATAACGATCAAAACACTAAAGGTAGCCAAATATAGAGGGTAATATATAATTAATCCGGTATCATAGATAATTTGAACGTGATGACGATTGGTACACGGAGAAAAGAATTCAACATTACTAAGTGTATAGATATTTTTCAAAGGGAAATAATAAGAAATCATAAAAACTTACGTGTCATTAAGACAAACCTATTCAAGTGATGAACCGAGAGTTCTCTCTTTCATGTATTCTTTGCCCAGCAAGAAATGGTAATAATAATTCTGACGTCAGTGCCAAAGACTAATCACACCTCCATGTCCTGCCGGCTTCTGCATCGGTGGCATCGCCTGCCGTTTGTCTCCTTGCTGTGCCCGCAGCGGGTGATGGGATCCACCTCCGTTGACGTCGCTATAACACCAGCAGTAAGCAGCAACAACACCAAGACAACGCATACACAGATGCAACGGAAAAGTCGTTCTCTGCCGTGCCGCGACACACGCCATGGTTGGCGCAATCCTCGCCAAGAAAGCTTTCTTCCGATCCCAAACAAACACAAAAACAGAACACGGAGGAGAGAGCCGAGCCTGAGCCGATGACTTCCCGCCAGCTTTCTCCAGTATTATTACCAGAATTCCTTTCCTTTTTCTTGTGGTATCACCCACACAAGGAAAAGGGTGGGGAGGGGGGAGATGGAAGCACTATAAGTATCGGACCCATGCACGCACAAACACCCATCGCTCGCTAGGTGTTTGACACAATGCGACTCTTCTCCATCTCCTCCGCTTCTTTCCTCCTCGTCCTTCTCTTCTCCTGCTCTTTGGTTCGCGGTGGCAGGTCGAGGGAATTGGACCGCGAGGCCTTGCGACAACAGGAGGCCGACCGCGTGGTCGGGCTCCCCGGTCAGCCGCCGGTGAGCTTCCGCCAGTACGCCGGGTACGTGACGGTCAACGAGAGCCACGGCCGCGCGCTCTTCTACTGGTTCTTTGAGGCCACTCACGATGTGGAGAAGAAGCCGCTTCTTCTCTGGCTAAACGGAGGTCATATCTTCTTCTTCTTTCGTTCTTCTTCTTCTTCTTACTGTTACGGTAATCGATAGCTTATGATACAATGTTTCGTCACAGAAAACTGGGCAGAATGTAACATCTTTAGCTTCGTAAACTAGACACTGCTGACCTTTAGGAACGATGATTATTTTGTCCATTAATCCAAGCAGGAAAAGAAGCTTCCCTTTTGTAAAGTCTAGAAGAGCAAAATGATGGCGGATAGGCCAAAGGTTGGTTCCACCACAATCAGACTCCAAAACACAGTCCCAATTGAATTCCCTCACCAAACTACGAAACCTTAATTGGTCAGCCAATTATGTGTAAAGTCTATATTATATGACATGAAATGATGTCTTATTTACTGATTCTTTTGGGAATAAAAGAAAGAAAGAACACTGTTGATTTCTTCCTTGGGTTGTTCTATCGGGACCTTCCATTATTGCAGCACAGCATGGCCCAGCTTTGGAGAGAGCTACCTGGTGTTCATGGCACATCATGGGCTTCCCTCCCCCCCCCCCCACCACCCCCACCCCCACTAGGAGGAGTCATTCGTTGACCACCTTCTCTCCAAACAAGCAACAAGATGAGAAACTTGACCCACACCTTGTGTAAACCTCCCTCACAGGCAACAGTGTCCGCCATTGCCGGTTCCACCTTCCCAAGCACAACACCCTTTGGGTATTCGGAAGGTTCTGCCTGCAATGTAGTTTGTACCAGTAACCTTAGATCGGAGGAACAGGGACCGAAGGGCCTGATGTGGCATTACTATTAAGGGAGAGGGTGGGTGGTCGGATGTGGCACTACTATTAAGGGAGAAGGTGGGTGGTCGGGGACCAGCCAGAGGCTGGAATCCTCCATGGGCAACCCAAGCAACAGGATTGAGCCGCTGTAAGTGGGTAAGAGGTGGTACCAGTTGCGAGGTCGACAGGGATGGCGCCTTTTGCCCACAAAAAGCGTAGATGCTGCAGGTCTCACTATGTCGACTCCAGCTCCGGTGAGCCCTCCTCCGTTCCGGAAGCAGCAAGGAATCTGGGGACCAGGTAGGACTTGCGTGTGGCCACCTTTCTTGCCTGCGTCCATAGGAGAAGATAATGTAGCATAAATATCACTCGCCCAATTTGTCCCAAGGTAGAAAGAAAATATTAGAATTTTGCAGGGGGAAACTCCACAGTAGTCCCTCGCTGTGGATGCCTCGATGATTGATGTGTACTGGGAATAGTGGATGCATGATGCATTGTCCAGCCAATCCGTCAGCATCTTGTACTTGTGGAGACAAATTGGATTGCAAGTTCTCTTGGCATGTTTCATGGTGGTGTCTGACATGGTTCATTGCAGGGCCTGGGTGTTCTTCCATTGGGTATGGGGCTGCAGAGGAGCTTGGACCTTTTCTGATGCAAAAGGGTGTGCCACAGCTCAGGTTCAATCAGCATTCTTGGAACAAAGGCAAGACACCTATCCCTAGTGCTTCCTTTCCAGACACAAAATATTGCTAGTGGTTAACTTGAATGCTACTGCTGCATTGTAATAACATGTAATGCAGACAATGATCAAATGCATAACACATCAACAGCTAAATTTCAGAGTCACAGAAAACAGAAAGATCATAACTCTTGAGTACAAAGCAATTTGTGATGGACACTTAAAAAGTATGCTGATTCTTTGCACATTTCAGAGGCAAATCTGCTATTTCTTGAGTCACCTGTTGGAGTGGGATTTTCTTACACTAATACCAGCTCTGATTTGCAGTCACTGGGAGACAAGATCACAGGTAAGTCCTACAGAGAGTACTTTCACTTGACCATATACATGTTCCATAGAAATCCTTGGGGGATTTGTTCACATCTACTGATATTGTTCTACTGATCATCCAAAGCTGAGGACTCCTACATATTCCTTGTAAACTGGCTCAAGAGGTTCCCACAGTACAAGTCCCATGACTTCTACATTGCTGGAGAAAGTTATGCAGGTAAAAGAGTTGCTGTACCATGCAAAACATCACTGGGTCAGTTGGTGAAATGTAATTAACACTACTTGCTGCCTTAGGACACTATGTTCCACAACTATCCGAGAAGATATTCGACGAAAACAAAAAAGCTTCAAAGGAAACCTACATAAACTTCAAAGGATTTATGGTAAAAGTTCTACATCAAACACCTGTAGATAGCATTTTCCTACCTGAAACTGCTAGTGTAGATTCATCTCAAAGGTGCTAAAGATCATACCAACATAATCTTACGCATGAATCAGATAGGAAATGCATTGATGGACGACGACACTGATCAGACGGGGATGATCGACTACGCATGGGACCATGCCGTCATCTCCGACCGTGTCTACCACGACGTCAAGAGCAACTGCAATTTCAGCATTGAACCTGCTACTGAGGCCTGTAACAATGCACTGAGAGAGTACTTTGCAGTCTATCGTATAATCGACATGTACAGCTTGTATGCTCCTGTCTGTACCAGCATCACCTCTACCCGGAAGTCCTTCCAGATCGAGGGTGCAGCTCCCAAGCTGTTCTCCAGATATGTAAGTTGCTTTCCTACCAACAATGGTGATTACCATCCTGACATTCAATACCCATTGCAGGATGTGAATATTCATTCTGAAGAGCTGCATCTAAGCAACCAAGACTAGACAACATAATATCTGTATCTACATAAATGCTTGAGTAAGGATTTCTCTTCTCACAGAGTGGGTGGCATCAAAAGCCAGCGGGGTACGACCCTTGTGTCTCGGACTATTCCGAGGTGTATTTCAACCGACCGGATGTCCAAGAAGCTCTGCATGCCAACACCACAAAGATTGGCTACAACTGGACCCACTGCAGGTACATATATTTGGTGAATTATGATGATTCCTTGAGATCTTCAGCATTTTGCTGGTAGAGACATGGAGAATACACTTTTAACTAGAAAATCCAATACTTGCTTCCAGGAGGCTGAAGTAGGAACAAGTAATTATTAATCAATTTGTCAAATACATGAACTCAGTTTCTACAAGATTAGTCATCTATTCTAAAAAATATATTCCTGCCTTCTTTGGACAGTGAGGTAGTCACCAAATGGAATGATTCGCCAGCCACTATGCTCCCAGTCATCCGCAAGCTTATCAATGGCGGCCTCAGAGTATGGGTTTTCAGGTAAGGATACAAGTAAGGAACCCCTAATTGAGATAATTACCAAAATATCTGCATTAGTAGAATATGCAAATTGCATGGAGAAATTTGAGCTTACAATTAATCATTCATCATATTGTAAAACAATGCGATGGAGTGAGTATCGATTAGCTAGCTAATGCTAGAAAGCACTTCAGACAAATAACCAAATGTGCTAGATCATCTTGGTTCTGGAATGGAGATCAACAAAAACTTAAAAATAATGTCGTCTTACACAATGTCTCTCAGTTCTTCATGTTAGTTAATACTATCAACAAAAATATGCACTTTGCATATAACAGATAGGACCTGAGCAATATATAACTAGCAAAAAAAAAAAAAAACAAAAGACACAAAAAAGGCCTTTAGTTCTCAACTTTCTTCTTTCCCTTTCAGTGGGGACACTGATGGAAGAATTCCAGTCACCTCAACAAGGTATACACTAAACAAGCTTGGCATGAAAACTATCCAAGAATGGAAGCCATGGTATGATCGTAAGCAGGTATGAGTTGGATCCCTGGAACCCATTAGTAATTTTCATCCTAAAGGATAACTTGAGAGTCACCAGACATTCTTGTTAACTACGTAGGTGGGTGGATGGACAATTGTCTTTGAAGGACTGACATTTGTTACAGTTCGTGGTGCCGGACACCAAGTTCCAACATTTGCTCCTAGGCAGGCTCAGCAGTTGATTCATCACTTCTTGGCTAACCAGCAATTGCCTCCATCAGCATTCTAGCAGTGGAAGTCTTGATCCAATCTTCCATTCGACATCCAATCATTCACATAAGTGGTTTCATACCCTGCATTTGATGAAATGCTTGTCTACCCGTACTAAACAATGCAAAGTGATAACTGAAAATAGGTGCAAGCCATGTTTTCAATAAGAGAGTTGTTTTAGTTCATACGCTTGTGTTCTTGAATTATGCATTTCCCCAGTTTGACAATAAGAAAACCATGTAAAACACAAAAGTCTATCAAATTTCATCACATAATATCATTTCCATTCTGTTTTATTACTTTTTGTCACATCTTTTTTGCAGAAGATCTTTGTCCGTAATATTATTTGTATTTTGTAGAGAATATCACGCCCATCATTAACACCCTTATTCTGTTTAGGATCCGTATATCTATATTCTTAATACTTGTTTACAAGTTGACAAATGGTGCTGAATCTAAAACATCACAGAACATGTTTGATAAGAACATCTATACCTATTTTACAAAATGTTGGCTAACTTAAGCTGATATGTTCACTTCTTTTTACCAAACCTAGTGAGTATAAACACTTTTTATCAGATTTGGCTTCCATTTTCACCAAGGAAGAAATATTCAGAGAAAATTTAGACATCCAGCCTCATGTCAGCTTTATTTTATATGCTACGGCCCCTCAACTCTTAAACATATAAAGATTGTTGATATATCTAAATTTAACCTCTATACTATGTTACCTGTTTATTCCACAATTGGTAGCAGTTCACAGTTCTAAACACAAAAACTTAATCCGAAGTCATGATGTTTCTCAATTTAGTTCTACAACTGAAAGACAGAGATCTCAATCTTGATTTGATTTGTCACTATTGCATCTAAAAGGTCCTTTGCAGCAAAAAGACTGAACAAACTCAAGTTGTAAGGAGATCCATCTTAGATCATGGATTATGTGACTAATAAGTATTGCTCAGATGGGATTGAACTCAGGAGAAAATTCACTGCAATAATGGTTTCATGCCAAGCTCCTGACAAAGGCATCAAGGAACAGAAGAGGGGTCATAATCTAGAGTCTTTGTCGGTGGACATGTGGTCATTCTATTTATCAGCAAGTTTAAAAAGCCTTGAAAAACTCCATGAGATTTCTCTCATTGAAAAAGAGAGAAGAGATCGACATCTGAAGAATAGAAAAAATAAAAAAAACAAAGATTAGCTTACTAATTAACAAGTGTTCCAATTCTTAGCTTTTACATATTTGACTGACCATAATAAGTCCTTCAACCACTTTACTATCATGATTCCCAGAAACTATGATGCAGATAGAAGAAGCATGATGTGGACTCATCATTCATACAAATTTGCAGTTCATTTGACTTTGAACAATTATATTTTTGCTTGGTAATGTGAACCCTCTCTTTGCCATCGGTGGAAGCGCAAAACAGCCATAGAAAAAGATGCAAACTTAGCCTGGAGGTTTGAATCACTCATCCTTTAACAAATATTAGCCTCCAATAATTATTCTTAAAATTTTCAATGTGCTCAATATTCTTTTATTATTGTTTAAACTATGTTCATAATTCAGATAAATGAATTTTGCAAGTGATGCACAAATAAAAGTAGCAGCAGAAAGTTAGGGATTCAACATACTTCTAAAGCTTCCAATCTCATGCAACTTACATTACAGAACAACACACCAGTTCTTAGCTTTGTGATATGCATATCTCCACCAAATCAAATCACCCAAACTGAAAGCTAATATCTTCGATTACAAACTACAGATCCAAGAACAGTTCTTAAAGCCTATTAACTAACAGACAGGAAAAGGGATGGCTAATAACTTTGATTGCAAACTACAGATTCCAATACAGTTCTTACAACCCTAATAGCAGACAGGTAATGGAAGCATTTCAAGGTAGATTTGGTAGAGAAGTGACCCTGACCTCAAATCTTGGGCGCAAGAGCTGCCTCGAGGCGTTTGCAGTCCACCAGATAAGCAAAGCCATACGCCATATTCTTGAGGGTAGCTTCGTGCAGATCCTTGTTCGAGGTAGCCGTGGCGTCGGTGGAGAAGAAGACCCTGAACCCCCTCACAAACGCCTCCCTCGCCGACGTCTCGCAGCAGAGGTTCGTCATCACGCCGGTGACGATCACCTCCTCGACTCCCATGCCCCTCAGCGCCTCCTCCAGACCCGTGCCGGCGAAGGCGCTGTAGGTGCTCTTCTCGACCACACGGTCGCCGGGGTCTCGGCCGATGTCGGGGAGGAGCTCGGCCGCGGGGGTGCCGTCGAGGATGAGGTCGCCGGACCACCACTCGCCAAGCATGGCGTAGTCGGCGGGGGAGCGGTGGCGGTGGCGGGTGAAGAGGACGGGGATGCCGGCGGCGCGGCAGAGGGCGACGGTGGAGCGGAGGGCGGGGAGTATGGGGGCAGCGATGGAGGCGAAGTGGCGCTGCATGTCGATGACGAGGAGGGCGGCGGCGGTGGGGTTGGGGTTGCGCCGCCGAATCTCGTACTTGCTGTAGGAGTCGCCTGCCATGGAAAAGAGGCTGCTTTCGGAAGACGCCATCACGCAGAGGAGGCAGATCGGGATTTTGTAGGATACGACGAACCTCCAGAGAACTACTAGTTATCCTAGTCCTACACTGTCTGATGCTGATGCTGATGATCACTATTCTTGTCACTATTATTTCTACTATTTAGCTCATAATAAGTTTTAAAGGACATTAATATAGATTAAGGTGTCAACTAACAATTAACTCGACACAGATTAACTACAATATTTTATCTTAAATTTATTATATGTTAAATTTAAATCTGACTTTGACATTACATATATCTAAGGTTTTATCTTTTCTTTCTCATCTATATATACTATATTGGAAATTCTGGGAACAACAAATTTGCCCAGACAATGTGTGTGGGTGTGTGTGTGAAACTTAAAATGTGAGTAATAAATGAGAAAATATATTATTTTAGAGGAAAATTTATATTATTAGGTTATTTAAATCTTTCTTCTCTCCTATTAAATCACTAATAATATAATCTGCTGGAATGATTTCTGAAGTGAGTTCTGTATTCCTGCCCTCTCCTCTATGAGAGCACCACCACAGTCAACAAAGATTACATATATTCTTCAGCAACTGTTTGATAGAATGATCTAAATCCAGTGGATTTATGCTCATAGAAATGGTCTCAAAACTCAAAGAAAAGGAAGTAATAGAAACAAAGGTTAATAACAAGTCTTGATAGTTGAAGGACTGAAACCTGCATTGGTGCAGAGAGTCAGTGACAGATTAGTTTTCCTGGTTAGCTCGTCCTCGGTCTGTTGCCTCCATGTTGGTGAGTGCTTCTTGCGCACACGATGCTGAGCCAGTGACACCTCATTCATGCATGGAGCTTTGCATTCATGGCACCAAACCATCTAGTTTCCAGTCTTCTTTTTGTCGAAGAGTTGGTCCAATCTGGCGTTGTGCTTCTTACCCTGGAAATGCTGCGTCAGGTTCAAAGAGTTCTTCACGCAAGCAACTCTGCAGATGCTGCACCGGAGAGGCACTGTCTTGCCTGATGGCAGTGATGATGATGTTTGACAATGTCGATCTGGAAGAGATCGATGTGCAGCTTCCCTTTCCATGCCCTCAATATTAGGTTTCGGAAGGAGCTTCTGGCAAAAACATGATATAAGCAATCTGAGTTGCCATCAACATGCAGCAGAAAGAACAAAGACATGGTGGTCTGACATGGCCATGAAGGATATGTTCTGCAACATGGAGGTCGATGTTTGAACGAGGAACCTATGCTTTATACTCTCGAACTCGCTTGCTTACGGCTCTGGAAACCAAACTTTGTTGCTTTGGATATAATTCAGTTCACTCTCGTTCAGAAACATTGGATATGCAATTTAAACATGGAGAAAATTTGCATGCCATCACAGTGACAGTAAGTTTCTCACCTGAGAAGAGACGGTGAGTTCTTCTACACAGGAAGTAGTCTCATTCAGCTCTTCTCCGTTACTGACAACTTCATTCAACTCAGTACTCTTCTGCTTCCTTCTTGAATCTGCTTCGGCTGACCTTCCTTTTCCGACTTCTCCAAAGCACGAAGAATCAGGCATCAAAGGTCTGTAAGTAGCGGAAAGAGAGTGGGAAAGCAGAGGAACGAACTGAACCAGCAAAGGATGGTGGGGTGAGGAGAGTGAGCAAAGCTTTTGCCAAGCATAAGCACAAAACACCTTTTCTATGAAGAATCAAAATATCCTAAAAAGCTATCTGCAGAAGCCATCAGACCCATGACCGACTCGTTTCATGCAGATTCACCTTCTTTTGTGCATACCATTGGGGCTTTTGTGGCATTCGATGCTTCGTTTATGTGTCCCGATCACGCCTTGGATCCGACTAAATCTGCGGCGGATCGAGATGAACCGCCGGTCTGACCGACCTCATGCCGAACCGGGACGTCGTAGTTGTTGGTTTGGGTCCGACTTGGCCTGCTAGTGATTCAAAACATTCGAGCAAACCCGGATTCCGGTGACCCGCGGCCGACCCCCGTGGCTCATAGAGTAGGCGCGTGGGGCCCACGGGGATCGAAGCAGAGGGTCCTACTCGTCGTGGTTGTTGGACAGGGTCCGACTAGGCCTGCCAGTGATTCAAACTATTCGAGCAAACCCGGTTTTCCGTCACCCGCGGGCCTACCCGCGTGGTGTATGCAGTAAGCGCGTGGGGCTCACGAGGAGTGACCCAGAAGGGTACCAGTCTTCGTATTTATTGGAATGGTTGGCCTGCTAGTGATTCAAACTATTCGACTCACTCGCGAACGTACCCGCGTGGTGTATAGTGTAGGTGTTTGGGGCCCACGGGAACCGACGCTGAAGGTGCCCATGTTCCCTCAAAAGTTTGGAGGAAGAGACACGTAAATGACCGACTTTGGCCTTTCGAAGGGTATAATTGTAAGTTTGTTTGCTTGTCGATACCTCTGCTTGCGCGAGGCGGCGGAGGGAGAAGGAGGGTCGAGTGGAGGCGCGAAGAAGATGTCGTACTTGTTGCCGCATCTGCACTCGGGGTGGGCGGTGGATCAGGCGATCCTGGCCGAGGAGGAGCGCCTCGTCGTCATCCGGTTTGGCCACGACTGGGACGAGACCTGCATGCAGGTTCCTTTCTTTTCTTTTTTCCTTTCTCCACCCCTTTTGATCCTTCTTCTTCATCTTCGAATCCTTTTCTCGATTACATTGTTTTCATAGAACGGGAATCATTTGCTAGATTGACTTTGGTTGTTGATGCGAGACGTTTCTTCTCACCTATGATCGATTTGGCGCAATGTCCAAATTAGGGTTTGGTGTTTCTCCTGACCGTGGCCCTTTGACTTATAGTCAACAAGCGATCTGTATGTGACCCTTATAGTTGACAATCGATCCAATTTTCTTGTTCTTGTTCTTGATCCAGGAGAAAGGAAACCTAGAGATTTGAGATTCAAGCACTTTGGAACCTGCTGAATGATGTCGACAAGTTAGGATTTGACTAACGTGTTGTGTTATTGTTACCATGAACAGATCCTTGTTTCCCTCAAGGAAAAGCCAAAAGTCATATCATGATAGCTTCTACCAGCTCCTTGTTTCTTTGCACCTAAACAAGAATGGTTAAGAGGGTTAGAAGTGGAGTTTCCATTATGCTTATAGCATGTCACTTGAAGTGGGGGTGATTTCAAGAGTGGGTTTAAACAAGCAGTATCGAGAAACAAAATGGAGAGGAACAAAATTCATTTTTTCTGGATTTTCAATTCTCTTTGTTATTCTATGTCTCACATATGTATATTTTTTCTTTTTGTTTTTTTTTACTCCATTAATTACATGGTGTGATGTGAAACCTTGCTTAAATTGAGTGTATATTTGCAACATATGCAAACATATATGTAGCAAAACCTGGAAAGGGTTATTGTGAACTGATGATTCCGATATAGTTAAGTGCCTTGGAACCATCTTAAATCATAATAACTTGCTTATAAACTTTTATGCTTTTGCTAGGTGATGTGGATGGTTGTAAACCTCTGTAAGAATCTTACTATGTTGGCCTGCTCTTTTAGCTAGATTACACAGTTTACAAATTTTAGTAATGTTCCACTTACTTGAAAGACACTTATATTATTTCTGGATCCTGCTTTGTGTGAGGTCTATTCTTCGACTCTGTTAACTCCCTTTAAATGACTATTGTGTTAACTGGAAACTGAGACAAGAGGCATGATGCAGTGCCTATGATGTCGGACCAGACCAAGTTTGATTTCACAGGTTGAATGTATTTACACCAACCCAAGGTTGATGTTGAGTCTAGCATGAAGAGAGGCCTAGCATGAAGAGAGATACTTAACAACTATGTGGAAAACTACATTTAACAGCTATATCCGTCCTCAAAATCTCAGGGAAAGGCCTAACATGAAGATACTTGACACTTGTTCGTTTTGTTTTTTTTAAAGAAAACCAACTTACCTGTGGCCTTTTAAGCTGTTTGACCTGAGTAGCGTCTAAGTACTACAATTTAGTTATTCAGTGTCGTTGTGATTTCTAGGAATATATGTTGTTACATAATTCAGTAAGTGCTACATGCTCTGTTGCCAGTATACATTAAATGTAACCTCTGAAGAGAGGGAAATCGTTATTCGATGATAATGTCTTTTGAAAAAATATTTTTTAGGTTTTTTCTTGGAAGACTGTACTCTTAAAGCATTTCAACGTAGAGATTTTTTTTTAAGCATGCGATGGACTCCTTGTTTCAAGTACTAATTTTCTTTCTTTTATGATATAACTTAGTCTTTTGTTCAGAATTTGAAAATTAATAATGTTCTTTTAATTTTTTAGTCAGAAGCTATAGTTCGAAAGGTTAGGATTCAATAGTGAAATTATTCCTTTGTGACCTGGATGATCAGGTTCAAGTTGCTGATAGACCTTTCACTTATAGAGGAGTATGATCGTAGATGCTAATCTTTCTCAATCTTCTGCATTGAGATTGGCAAAAGACGTGCACGGGTTTATTCGTTACGTTAGGTGAGACAATTAGTACTAGTGACATGAGAAAGGATAGAGGAAGACCAACATGACCATAGATAGAGATATGAATGCTTTTAGCTTTAACTAATAATATCATTTTGTTCAAAGCTCTCAATGATGTGAAAAGATCCAATTAATCAATTCTAAATAATTGGGATATCACAGCGTAGTATAGTTCCATAGATAAAGTTCGTAGTGCCATATCTAATTTGTTAAGAAACTTTGTTTTTGTTTTTACTGCAGGACTAACAACCACTTGCATTTTTGTGGTGCAGATGGATGAAGTGCTGGCTTCAGTTGCAGAGACCATAAAGAACTTTGCAGTGATTTACTTGGTTGATATCACCGAGGTGCCTGACTTCAATACTATGTACGAGCTGTATGATCCTTCAACCGTGATGTTCTTCTTCAGGAACAAGCATATCATGATTGACCTCGGGACGGGTAACAATAACAAAATAAATTGGGCGCTCAAGGACAAGCAAGAATTTATTGACATTGTGGAGACTGTTTATAGGGGAGCCAGGAAAGGTCGTGGGCTGGTGATTGCTCCCAAAGATTACTCCACCAAGTA